ACATGTCCCTGCCCCACCCTCCCCTTGTCCAGCCAAACCCCTAACGATAGCAGCGTTCCGTTCGCCCTCACTCATCAAACAACAACAAAAAAGTAGATACCGAAACATAACTAACATAAAACCTTTGCAAAGCGTACATAGTAAAATAGTGTAATCAAATGCAGCAAATAAAGGCAGTAGACAGGATGTATCAGTGGAAAAAACCCCTTGAATTTCATTGTGTATATTCTTATTATATGTTGTATAAGCTATATTAGAATGCCAGCAAAGTCACAATCCATGGATATCATACAATATGCAAAAGTATTTATTTTTTTATAGCAATTTAATATTTGCCTAGTAATTATTACTTTTTATGTTACTGTCATTACTGCTTATGTTACTATTATGTTACTTATTGGTATTGTTTATGTGACTGTACTACGTTGGGCATGGCCTAACATGCATTTGCTGTTAATCACTTGAGGACCCAGACGAGTGCTGTGCTACCTGTGTTATTTTTGTAGTCTGTTGGATTACTGTGAGTACAGAAGTACTAAGAAGCAGGGTATGTGTTGCTTTTCTGTACATACATCCAGATGTGGTGAGAGGTGACATTCTAAGTTTCCAAAGCTGTTGAAAAGTGAGTGAATGGATGCTTTACTTCATGACATAAACAACAGAATTTGTTGATTAGATAGTTCTGAAAAGCTGAATAGGAAGAGTCTGCAGCGGGACTGCAGGGTAAACTTGGTATCCAAACTCAAACACCAGTCTTTTTATCCTTTGTGTGGAAGGAATATAAGTGAATATTGTGACTGGATGACAGTAATAGTGCTATGAAATACTTGTATTTGGGTGAGATGATCCTGCTGGAGCCTCTCTGCCAGGCAACAGACCACATAAATCACAGGAAAGGGACAGAAAAAGAGATAAAATTAATAAAGCATTTCAGTTCATGAAAATTTAAAGTTGTAGCTCAGGTGAGGTGACAGCTCTATAGACCCTAAGCAAATTAACTTCTCCTTAAGGAAAGGATTTATTAGATGGTGTAGCATTTTCCAGTGAGAAAAAAAATCCAGAATGTGGCAGAAATATATTTGAAATCTCAACAGCCTATGGGCTGAGTAAACCCCACTGGTATCCTTATTTTGCTGGAAAGGTTAACATACCCGAGCCCAGCCTTGGGGCTTGTCACAGCTCTCCTTGTTAGGAGCAATCCATTAGATAGCAATTGTTTAAACTGTCAAACAGGGGAAAAGGCTTTGGGGAGCACTCACACAAGTGCTCACCCACCGTCTGTAGGACTAGCAGGAATCACAGCCAAGGGAAAGGACTTGGAGGAATTATTGTAGTTATTATTTTAGTTGGCCTAGGTTTAGCAAGATGGGATTGTGTGCATGTTGCATGTTTGGTGCTAAACCTCTTGTGCATCTAAATGAGGAAGGGATTCAGATTAGTACTTTTGAGTGTTTCTGACCACCAGAAAATGAACTGAGGCAGAAAAATAAGAATTCTCCAAGTATGTTTGTAAAATACAACGTTTCGTAGAAGCCTGTTAATTTTTTCTGTTGGTGTGTTTGGCTTAGAATGCAAAAAGGCGATTTTTTCTAATGCATAGCAATTCCATCCCGTGGTCTGAAACTCTCCAACTCTTTCCATCCATTGTAATGATGAATTCTAATTACATCTTAGTTGACAGCTTTAGTGAAGAGCAGCTGACTAGAACCCATTCCAGTCCTAAATAGGCATTTTGGCTCTGAAGCGGTGACGGAAATAGAAAAGAGTGTTTTGTCAGTGAAGTGCCACACAGTTTGTTTATTTTCAGTAGGTTCCTTAGCTGTGAGAGGTTTCCCACCCATTTTCTCCCTCCTTCTGATATTGCTTTATATTTTCACATGTGCTTTGGTATTTCATTTGCAAAGCTGAGATGCACAGGGCAGACCCCTCTGTTCTTGATTTGTGTTGCCAAATCACCCCTCGTAGCTACTGGGTGTTTTCCTCCAGATGCAGAGTAGCAAGGGTAGCTTATTGTACATCACTTCAAAACTGTTTATATAAATGCAGTATCTTTAATCCATCTGATTACAGAGATGCCATGGATTTATTCTTATTGTTCTTTAAATAAATTTACCCTTGAAGGCATGTATGTATGGACACTTGAGCTAATTAAAGCTCAAGGAAATATGAATATGCAGTTGAGTTTAGCAGCATCGAATACCTACGTTACTCCTGGACCCTTATAAGTGCTTTTATTACATGTTAAAACTTTTAGGTTTAGCAAACATATCTTCTGTCTGCCATAGGCACTAAGGTTATGATTTTGCTGTCCTGCATGAGATTGTGTTACTATCAAACCAGTGTTGCTAATGGCATGTAGAACTCGTGGAAGTAAACAAGTGACTTAAACTAAGTACTTACTATATTTTTTTTTCAATTTGCTCATCGTTAGTGTTTAGGTAAAAATAAAGCCCACAGCAATATTGAGGATTGCTCAATAAGCTGGTTTTTGTCCTGGAATTTAAGCAAAGAGATGTTTTCAGTTAACTTGCCATAGACTTTCTTTCTTTAGGTACAAAACTACAATGTAATATGAATAAAAATAAGACTGGGATTAGTTGAGAATTTATCTTTATTTCCTGTTGAACTCCTAATAGGAATGAGAGAAGGCTCTTCATGCGTGTGTGTATCAGTCTGTATTTGCTTTGGAAAAATTCAGGAGTTGTGGATTACAAAGAGTGCAGGGCATTAAGAATATTTTGGAACATTTTTTTTTCTTGGATAAGAGTTCCCAAAGAGCAAATACAATCAACAAGTCAGTGACTGAACTTACGGGCTGTCAATATGTAGCATTAGTGCATCTCTCCTGCATGCTCTTTCAACTTCACTAATATTTGAGGTTTAATTCCTTAATGATACTAGTAACAATGTGGTGATAGATGAAGAATTCTCATACCGTGAGAATAATTCTGAAGAAAAGAGCATTTCTGTAGTATTTCTGAAGTGTTGCATTCATTGTGTCAGTCCTTGTTCTGTATAAGTAGTTTACTACCTTGGGAAGTCAAAAGGCTACATGGCCCATATTGCAGAGTGCCCCAGCCTTTCAGAGTCAATAATTCTTAATTTCCTTCTAAGAAAAGCTCAGTAATGCAAATTTTCTCCATTTTGTATGAATTTTTGATTTATTGTTATTACTATGAAAGCATTTTTAACCTTATTCATCTTCATTGTATAGGAGGAATGTGGATCTGAATGGCACTCAGCATTTTTATAGATGTTCAAAAAAGCTGCACTGTAGGAAAAATATTTGCCTTCTACATATGTGGAGTTGGAAAGCCTAACTCCATAGTTAACCCTAATCCATAATCCATTAGGAGAGGCATTTTCATGATAGAAAGATAGATAAATGCAGAACTAGTGTCTGATATAATTTTTCTGGCAATCATCTGTTTCAGTATTGATAAAATAAATTCTGTTTCTACTTGACTACTAAATACAGTGTTTGAGTAATTTTAGGAAATGCTACTTTTAAATACATCCCCCATCACCAAATAGGAGAGGAGATGCAAATTTGTGAGCTGCTTTTAACTTTTCCGAAAGATGCTTTGATATATGGTGAAATAATCTATAAATGAATGTTAAAGTTAATTGTAAAGGGAGGCCAAGCAAAGAGATCAATAGAACTAAATACGAAGCTAAAACGCTTTTAAACAGGAAACAGTTATTTAAAGTACTAGTATAGATAGATTTAAGGTTTAGAAACAATATGCATGTGGTCATTCAGGAATTTAAGAACACCACACTGCTAAGAGTCTCTGTTACTGTCCGTATTTAATCGTAAATTTAAAATCCTGGCATGATACTTTGCTCAAGCTTCCCCCACCCCACCTGTTTTCTTTTTTTCCCTCTAGATTTATGGCATACACCATGGTGCATGTGTGCTGGAAGCTGTCCATCATCTTTTTCTTCTATCAAGTTGTCTCAGGAAGAGTCAGGAGGGAGGGGCATTATGTTGCCGCCGTGTATGAGCACGAGTCCATACTGAGTCCCAACCCGACAGCCCTGGTGGATCGGCGCTCCGCGCTGGATCTCATGGGCAAGAACCTCGACATCTATGAGCAGCAAGCAGTGGCTGCTGCCAGACAGGTATTGCCACAACTTGGAGCAGTTGTGGAATTCGAATGACTGATACTGTGGCTGATCTAAATGGACTCCACCTCATTTTTAGGAACAGTTCAGGATATATGGAGTAGCTGCTGTTTGAAGATAATCTTTTACATTTGTGTTCCCAAGCAACTAAAGCTATATTTATGTACATAACTATGGTCTGGGTTTTCAGACACTCTGACCTGCCAGCAGCTCTGAAAAAAAAATCAGGCCAGTTAGCATCCTGCCTGGCTTGGGTTATTCCAAGCTTGGAAAAACACGCCTATAGTTATTTAGTATAGGGAAATTAATTTTCTATTTTGGTCTGAATACTTAGCTCCTTTCTGTTTTCTTAAATGGAATGTTTTCACTGAAAGATTGTCTTACGAGCAGCTGTCTTTGAGTTTGATTTTGTTCCAGTGCTCTCACTGGAAATTCTTGAATGTTTCTAAAAGCTAAGGAAATTAAATGCTTTGGAAATTAGTGTTCCACCATTAACAGTTTTGTGGAACTAAAGTTTTCCATTCCTTTCTCCTACCCTACCGTGGAATGGTTCTCAGTCTAAATATATTTAGAGGAGAGAGACTAGTATTTCTGGCTATTCTTATGCAGAGCACCCTTTCTTTCCCTCACTGGAAAACCTGAAGCTGGTTCTGGTCAAAGGAAGCAACTGTTACTGTCCCTACACAGACAAGAAATGACCTGCAGTTTTCACAGATCTGTTGATTTGGGAGAGAATAGTTACCATTTTTGTATAATTTTTTTAGACATTCAGATGACCGTACAGAAATGCTGTCAAGCTGTTTCTGAAATTAATAGTCCCAGTACCCCATCCAACCCTATGTACCTAATCTATTAAGTGATGCTGCACTCACTTTTGATACAGGTGCAGCACCTTTGACAAAGTTCGTCTGCAAACAGCATAATTCTGATAAAAAAATTAAGACAAGGTTTTAACATCATTAGTCTTTAACCTGAATCATGTCATTCTCATGACTCCTGTGAAGGGAGAACACTTTTGGCGAGAACTGAGATGAAGTCCTGCTCTTATTTGCATGCCCTTAAAATAATGTCAGACACATTATTTTTCAAGATAAAGGTATGTGTCAGGTTAAATAAGATTTTTTTAAATACACAATTACACCTGCTACATAGTTACACCTACTATGAAGTCGAAGAAAAACTACTTTGAAGCTGCATTATTGGCAAAACATAATTGGATTATACTTAACTTTCTTTAGCTCTTCCTACCCATGAGATCCCCTCTTTTCCTTTGCTTTGCCTACAAAACATGTATTTGTTTTACATACAGGGGGCACAGATTATTGTTTTTCCTGAAGATGGAATCCATGGCTTCAACTTCACCAGAAGCTCCATTTATCCTTACTTAGATTTCGTTCTGCATTCGCACTCTGGGAAGTGGAATCCATGCAGAGAGCCCTATTTGTTCAATGACACAGAGGTAAACATAGGAGTGATTGATGTCTGCAGGAGTGGAATAACTAAATGCTAGGTTTGTGCTCCAGGTGGGAAATAGCTCTAGTTGTTTTGCTTAGGGAAGTAAGCAGGAGGTTTAACAACTCGTAGTACCAGATTCTGTTTGAATGGATGCTCAGGTTATGCTGGTTTCATTCTGTTTAGATATGTACACAAAGGCTCATACAGCTTTTGTGTGAGCCATCTGGATTTGTCATCTCCTCCTCCCCAACCTCTGAAATGGTAATTACTCTTCTAGTAAGAGGCGTTGTGTGTGATTTTATTTTGAACAATACTGTTTTGGATAAAACAACACAGTAGTATCTTTGCTTTTGGTGCATTCTTGTTACTGGGGTTTAATGACTTGATGACACCATAACATTCTGAGTCAGTGGTCGGGGGTGGGGGGATATGTGTGTTTGTCTGTGAAATGATCAGCACTAGTAACAGGACTTGATCTGCTACAATGTAATAGAAGTCACAGCTTGACACAGACCAAGCGTGATTACATAAGGTGTGACCTCCATGTTACAAAAATAGTGTTTTCATTGACTGTTCTGGACCCGAACTGAAAATAACCATGCTTAGTAATACAGACTGTTAATTCTTATTAACCTTACAGCAGCCAACATAATGAAAGAAGTCATGCATGTACCTACTAAGCAGAATTTGTGTGCTAACATGAATCTTGTAAGTTGTAAGTGATGACCTATTTTGGCCTATGAATCTTTACTACCCATGATCATGGCCAAGCAAGCAAGAAGTTGGTTAGCCAGTCAGACCCTGTTTGGAGATTGCAGTACTGGCAGTCTTGGGTACAGTGCTCTGTGATATGGAAGAAATATCCCAGTAATACTGTAGTCTGTAACATCTTGTATTTCTTTTCTGTAACTATGCAAAATCTATTCATTTACATCTCTGCTTCTGTAAGTGCAGCTAGTAATTGCTTCTTAAAATTTTATAGTAAAAACATCCAGTTGCAGGAACAAGACATTACAGTTGCAAATGATCGCTATTAGAAGTTCTAAAGGCACCCACAGATCAGTTGTGCTACCTTGGCAAAGCTTTCAGTTGACCTATGGTGTTTGAAAGCCATTGGTGCTCCTACAAGTCAGAAATTTCTGAAAATTAACAACCTTGAAATAGAGAGATTTATTTACTAACTTCTCAGGAAATGAAACACATATATTTTTTTTCTGTTCTATTTTAAAATTAATATCCAAAATACTTTTCTGTCTACAAAGCTATTTGGTTCCAGTAACTTTTGTCAAAAAATCATTAGTAATTTTAAATTTTACAGATATGGTCAAACATGCTCAATTTTGAACACAATTGAAAGTAGTAATTTGAAAAGTATTAAATAACTCATAGGTGCTTAAGTAGAACTATTCCTCCATTTTCTGAAGTGCTTACATTTCTCCATACTGTTTTCCAGGTTATTCAGCGACTGAGCTGCATGGCACTGAAGAACAAAATATTCCTTGTGGCAAACTTAGGAACTAAGCAGCCCTGTGAACACACTGATCCTCACTGTCCACCTGATGGAAGGTACCAGTTCAACACCAACGTGGCGTTCGATGATGATGGTACCTTGGTAGCCACTTATCGCAAACACAACCTGTATTTCGAATACGCTTTTGATACCCCTCCAGAGCCTGACTATAAACACTTTGATACCCCTTTTGCTGGCAAGTTTGGCATGTTCACTTGCTTTGATATACTCTTTTTTGAGCCCGCAGTGAACCTCATCAGACAATACAATTTGAAACAAATTGTATATCCAACTGCCTGGATGAACCAGCTCCCGCTCTTGTCTGCTGTAGAATTTCAACAAGCTTTTGCAACAGCTTTCAATGTCAATATTTTAGCAGCTAATATCCACCACCCTACCTTGGGCATGACAGGGAGTGGGATATACACTCCAGTCAAATCCTTCATCTACCACAACATGGAAAGTTATGGTGGCAAGCTCATAGTAGCAGAAATTCCTGTGATTACCACGGATCATGAAACCAATTTGGAGAGTAATGAAAGATTCAGAGTGAACTTACATGACTCATGCAGGACTTTTACGAGCACCTTGCTGGATGATCAGGTTTGCTTTAAGGAGCAAGAAGAGACTCCTGGCAGAGTATCTGAAAAAGGAAATGAACAGTTACCTCCCCCATTTTATGCAGAAATGATGTATGACAACTTTACTTTCGTTCCTGTATGGGGGGAGAAAGGACAGCTCCGGGTTTGTGCCAATACCCTTTGTTGTTACTTAAATTATCAGAGAGCTGTTTTAACTGATGAATTATATGCTTTGGGAGTTTTTGATGGGCTCCATACAGTGCATGGCACATACTATGTCCAGGCCTGTGCGTTAGTGAAGTGTGGTGGTCTCAGCTTTAGCACTTGTGGACAGGAGGTTACAGATGCCACTGCTCTGATAGATTTCCAGCTATGGGGAAATATGAGTACCCCTTACATCTTTCCTTTGCTGCTGACGTCTGGCATTACCTTGGACTTTGCTGATCACATGGGCTGGAAAAACAACCACTATTTCATGAGCAAAAATAGAACATCTTCTGGCCTTCTGACAGCTGCTCTGTATGGACGATGGTATGAAAAGGACTAGCACAGATTTGAGTCAGAAAACAACTGCTCATATGTTCAGAGTATTTATCTTAACAGAAGTTGTTGAACATCCACACTTCCTAGAGGTCCAGGTGTGTTTGTTAAATGACTCACTGATTAGGTTCCACATTTGAAATGATAAGCAAAGCACCCTAAGAATCTGTAAGTACAGTCTGTACTGTGGTAGCTTATGTCTTACCAGAAGGGAAAAAACTGCCTTGCAAAGATTAAGTCTTGCTGTAATTTGGTGAGATGTTTTATATGGGGAAAACAACTTATTTCAACTGAATTTGTTCCTTTTAATTTAATCCTTTCATTTTCTGGTGTTCTGACTTGGAGTATGGAAATGAATGGAATGGAAAACTGTTGCAAGAGAAAAAAAAAAACGGGAAGGAAGACACAAATACTGTGTGTGACATGCACAAAAATATGTAGGTATACATACATAGAGCTTGTATGTGCTGAGGTTCTGATTTTTGGTTAGGGTGCCATGATTCTTTTTTTTTCTTTCTTCTTTTTCTTCTTTTCTTTCCCTGCTAAACTCCCAGTTTTTTCATATGCTTTTAGCAGTATCTCAATGTTACAGTTGTAAACATCTACAGAATATCTAATCTGGGGAAGAGGATATCAAATGCATGTGAAAAACAAGACTGCAGTAAGACACAATTCCCAAGAAATTATGTCTACACAAAACATTGGCGATGAATATCAACAACATATGTTATGTACTGTTTGAGTACTTTAACTTCCCCTGTTTAAAAGAGAGGTAGGCCATTTCAAGACTGTTTTGACTTTAAGACGTCTTAGCCATTGTTTATGAATTTATTCAAGAGGAGTTAGGAAAAGCACATAACCAACTGAGGGACAGCAAGGCTTTTACATCAGTGCTTCATGTACCAGATGGCAGGCTCGTGCTGCTGAGTGAGGAAAACACACCATTCTTTCCAGGGCAATAACTAGATTAAGTGCTATAACTGTTCTACTGCAGTGAAGAAGCTGGGAAGAAAATATTCAAAGGATATTAATTTGGGGTTAAATTCAGACAGGTTAATGCATTCTCAAGCATTATAATTGTATGTGGTCTTACTGACTGTTATGACTTCATCTGCTAATAGCTGTTGAGTAATGGAATAAACACAACTGTTCCTTTGGTCCAGTCCTTGTGTTCCAGTTGCTCTGACTGTTAGTCAGGCCGAGAGGAGCAGAGCCCTAACAGGAGACCTGTGAGTCTCCATTTTGGTGGTCTGAGTAGGTTCAAACTCAAATCACTATGGCAGGTACAAGTATGTGTGCTGAGAGGTGCTCCATCAGCTTCTGCTTTGAATGAACTCACTTTCTGGGTTCAGAAAGCAAAACAACAGAAAAATTGCTGAATTTCTACCTCAAGTTTTCTTAAATATTTACAAAGAATTATTATATAAATGTTAATGATAGGGGTGGTCTATCAAACCTTCCTTCTCCAACCTGTATCACTGTGAGTCAGGTCCTTGTCGAACACAGCTTTGATAGAGGGGTACAATAGGTTTGTTTATCCTGCAGCATATGTTGGACAGATACATGGAGAGGGGAGTGTCTATATCTCATCAGGCATAAACTTGCTGATATAAAAGTAGGCCATTCCACCACAGGATTACTAAAAATCCTCGTTTGGCACCTGTAGTGGTGTTCTTGCTGAAGGCTGCACGAATTCCAGGATGTACAGAGTAGAAAAGAAAAGCATTTGCAGTGCTTATTCATTCTTCAGGTTCTAGTACCACACAACCAAGTCTGAAAGAACGGAACAATGAACAACTGGAGATTTCAGGACTCTCTGCTTTGGAGGCTGAAAAACATGCAGCTTTGTGCACTAAAATACTCTTTGGGATTTAGTTCCAAAGCACACCATTGTCACAGTAAGGCTAAACAAGTAAATAGCATTACACATATTTCCTATGCTTAAGGAAAGAAAAAGTATTTATCTGTGAAATACTTGCACACTGTGTCCCACAGAGCCCTTCTAACTTTGCGTATATTAAAACTGTTAGAAAACAAGACCTTCTGGCCTTACTGTTTGCGTGGGGCATGTTTCTCTGTCCCCTCCCTGAGAAGAGCAGGCATTAAGTATCAAGAGTGTGTTCTAATACCTTGTTCCCTTTGCCCAAAAAGAGCAGCCTTTAGCAAAGGAAAAGGTTGAACAGACAGTACCAGACACAATGGATCAACAGTGATTATCTACTCCCCCACCCATCCTGATCTTTGCGTAACAACAGATGTATCCATTCTGAAATGGGGTGACCAGGCAGTAACCTGTGATGCTCACTACCACACATTGGTGGCTTTTGGAAGTCTGTGCTGGAGCAGCAATCCCAGCACTGCCCTGTTCCCAAACAACCCTGTATCCTCACTTACTGAGGAGGTGTGAGAAGTCTTCAGCAAGGCTGACATTCACATTCGTAACATACTGTAATGCAACCCACCTTCTAATATCTTTTCAATGGACATAAAGGGTTTTATTAATGCTTTCTGAACCATTTCTGCCAGACAGTGGAACAAAACTGAACCAGAACATGAGGATCTTTTGACACATGGGAAGTACAGCTAAGTCTAGAACAGCTTTAAATCACTTGGTCTGTCAACTGAAGTGAAATCAGGATTTGGAAATTTGTACTGACACTAAAGGAGACAGTGAGACAGACAGCAGGAGATGGTGTCTTTAAGGGGCCTTGACACTACTCCTGGGAAGGGAAAGACAACCACAGAAACTGTCTGTCCAGGCAGGGTAACAGCATGCAAGTCAGACATGCTGGAAGATTCCTCATCAGGGATCTGCTGCTTTGGGATTCACAGTGAGTTTTCCAGGTGGATGTGGGGATACTCTGCTTACAGTGAGAGAAAACGCCGGAAAGCACACCAAAGGAACAGTTGGCAAACAGGACCTTGGAGTTAAGTTATCAAGAGGGATGTGAACAGGCTGAGGAACTGGTGACACACTGGTACAATCTGTTCACAATGCCCAAGTCAGCATAAGCTCCTTTAGGCACATCTCGACAAGTGAAAACCCCAAATATGCACAAGTTGAAGTGAGTGCTATCACTCCAAGTTTTTAATAAGTCGACAGCAATGGAAATACTTCAGAGTCACAGTGCTCTCCTTCCTCCCTGCCCTGGGAGAATAGGTGTAGGCAACACAGGTCAGAACTCAGGGACAATAATGGTACCCACAGCAGATCAAACCAGCCCTTGGCAGAAGACATTAGAAAGGTTCAACTCAGTAAGATGTTAATAGATTCTAAGACTTTTAAGAAAACTATGCAGGCAGCTTCAGTAACAAACCTTGGCAAGGGACAAGAAATACATGACAAAATAGGACATGAATCATTAAGGTATCTAATCTATTCTTTTGACATAAAAAGAACCCCTGAGACCTCCAGCCTTAAGCTTTCAGAACTAAGTCAGCTCCCAGGTACAATGAGAAGAAAACCTGCACGTCTGTCATTTGACAAAACTTGAAAGCAGGTTTTGTTCTGTTGTAAATCTGAACAGTGATAGTTCGAGCTGCTTCTGTTGAAATTTTAATGAAAAAGAGAATGTAAGGTGTTTTTTTCCTCTTTAAATATTTAGTGACACTATCAATATGAAGACAGTTTGAAAGGCTCTTTAGGTTCTCTATTATTCAACTATGTTTACAGTTACATGGTAAAAAACTGCAAGATTCCTTTCCCAACCTCGGCTTGAAAACTGCCAAAATGTAGCATGGAATGGAGGGAGCTTAGTTTATCCTAACATAAAATAACACACATCACACCAGGGAAGCATGGATAATTTAGACACTGCTTTATTTGAAGACAAATACAGTGCTAAAAAAATTGGGATAACAGGTTGGAAATAGCTGCAAGAAATCTTCAAGGACTGCAAGGAGGGATGTTCATCTTCTTCCCCTGTCAGGAATGTTCAGTTGCGAGATGAGTTGTAGAAATTGAAAATTTTAGTCACACTTGCAACTAATTTTCCCCCTGGAAAAGGAAACTGAAACACTCTTGATCTTCCTGGGCTCCAGGCAGCTGAACAACTTAACGAATTGCTCTTTCTGAGCCTGCCATTTCAGACCATTTTTCTCTCAGTAGGTCTGAGAAGACACACAGACTGGGGGCCTGGGTGACACTCACAATGTCCAGCCAGGTGTTTGCATCTCCTGTTAAGCAGTAAAACGAAGGGTTTTTTGTAATAAGGCTTACAGATCATCATAAACACAACAGTAGTACTTTTCTTAAGAATAGCCAGTTATTTCATTATTTCAGATTAATGCACAGTGAATCTTTGCACTTAACATTCTTCAAAACATACAAATATTATAGTGAGAAAAGGACTCCAGAAAAAGCAAAAAGCCAATGCTATCAGCTAACAAAGAGGCCTGCACTGCATCTCTTCACATTTCACAGAATCATAGAATATCCTGAGTTGGAAGGGACCCACAAAGATCATTGAAGTCCAACTCCTGGCCCTGCACATTATCACCCCAAGAATCAGACCACATTCCCGAGAGCTCCTAACACCTCAGGTTTCAGTCTGTAAAGTTTGAAGACCCATGTTTTATAAATTCTTATCTTGTCCAGTTTAGAGTCACAGCTACACACTTACATTCAAAAAAGGTTTTTCAACCTAATCAGAATTCTTCTCCAACTGTCCTGTCAACCTCTGCAGCGTATTAAAGGATTATAAGGAAGTCATCACAAATCACTGAGATTACTACAAGAGGCAATAACCACCTATCTTGGATTTAAGGATTTATATGAATTTCCTCGACCGACTTTAAGAATTTAAATACTTACTTTTTCCTGATATTAAAAGGAATTTTGCTGAGATTAAATCCAGATCTGTGGAGGTAGTGTAAAAAGTTTAAACTACTTATTAAGAGATTAATAAAGGCCCTTCTCTCCAAAGTTATTAGTCTAATTCCAACCAGGACAGGATTATCAGGAATTCCTGTCATCAGGAATCAATGCTTTTTAAACAACAGTGCCATGGCATTTCCTTTTGGAAGTGGATATGTACCATCAGCAGAGGCCCAGAACAAAGTGGTGGGAGATGAGGAGAGTCCTCCTGCCAGGTTCTCCTGCTGCTCCTGCAGCTGGAACCTTGCCCACCCTGTGGTACACTGAGCCAAAGAGCACAGCCTCCAGTTCTCCAGAACTGCTGTTTCCATAAACACTTACCATTTTTATTTAGGTTTCAGTTTTTTAAGATGTGAACTTCACTGATCCAAACATGGAATTGAGTCGTATGGGCTCCCTGGAGACATCTAGAAGTGTTTAAAATGTCCCATGATTATGACAAACTTCTCACAAGTAAATGCTAACCAGTTCTTCGTGCAGTATTCACTGTTGCTTACGATCTTTCTATAGGATGATCCTCTTACTCAGCTATTGCATGATCAACAGAAAGGTCATAACATTTTTTTTTTCATAAGAGAAGCTGAGCTACCGAAACAGTTGTGTTATCTCCAACCAATTGCATTTAATGAACATTCTCTTAATTTTTTTTTAAACCAAAATGTTATTCTGGATCACTGTGGTAGCTGTCTTTAAATGGACATAATGCCTCGGCAGAGGAAGGCTAATTCCTCTCAAAACCAGAATTAATTTGGTTGGAGAATCTATAAACATTATCTCATGCTTCTTTTTAGTCGTCTTCCCTACAGCTTTGGTAACAGCTTTGGTATCTTCAGTGCCCTTATGTAGATGTCAAAAGGAGCAAAACTTTGGATTTAAATATTAATTTTTCTTTAACCAAACATTTGTTAATTCTTTAGTCTGTTATCTGAAACCAGGACATAGACAATTCAGAATTTTTAAAAAAATATACAACCAGAAAAAAACATGAAACAACTGCAAGCAAAGTTTAAAAAAGTGCTTATTTCTAGCTCTGATTGTTCCACATATATTTATACAATTATTTGGGAGACATCTAAGCATGTGAAGGTGATAAAAAGTAAAACAAGGAAATACAAAGCAGGAGACACAGAAGTCAAGATTTTATAAGGAATGACAAGACAGTAGGGTTACTCTCGGGCATGTGGGGGGGGGCAAGTCACACTGATTTCTTTTATCAGCATCCAGCATTTATGCTGCAAGACAGCATTCTAAAAGTAACAGCTCAGCCTATGAGGTTAATACTAACTGACTTGGCATTTTCTTCTGCAGAACATTTATCCTGAGAACTGAAAAAACCGTAAAACATCCCAGAAGTCAGAATATACAGAGAGCTGAGCGGAGCCAGCTGTCCTCATTCCTGGAGTCCATTTGATTTTCTTTTTTCCTCCAGGAAAAAAAAAGTTTATTTTATTCTGATATATTGCTTTACTGGTCCAGCCAAGGCTCACTGTTCTCCCTTGGTGAAAATCCAAGAGATTGTTTGGATAAAGGCTATAAGAATAACTGTCCCATATTTGTCTGTACAAAATGAGTAAGATTTTAGAAAAATGGAGGCTCCAATATAATTTTCTGGAAATGAACAGGCCCCCAACTGAGGTATGAACACTTTTTTTTTTTTTAACCTCCCACCAGCCACCAACAGCATTATTTACTTTTCAGAAACAAGGAACCTGCTGTTCCTTGACCTCTCATTAAGAAAGTGGTCTCTGACCACAGTCTTTAAACAAATCACATTCCATTTTTGGAATTAGACCATTTTATGATAATAGTCTCACTTATCACTCACAAGGCACAATTACTGTCCTACCCATACAGCCAGGTAGTAATGAAGTTGTTTGTTTTAACAAATACATGCAAATTGCAATCTACAGGCTCACTTAGTAAATTGTAATGATGAGATAGATAAGATACAAAACCATGTAATTCTGAATTCCTAAATGGTCTTAACAATTTGCAACAAAAACCAAATATTTAGCTCTAAAAGTTCAGAAAACCTAACTTAAAAATAATGCAATTTACCACATAGAAATGGTTTTCTTCCTCAGAAGGTGAGTAGCAATGAAATGAAAGAAAGGCACAATTTCTGATCAACATAAGGAAACAAACATGTTCAACAGCACTGTTTCCTGCATTTCCCTGTATTCCATATCCAAATCTTTAATAAAAAAGCAGTGCTATCTGAGCTTTTTCTCCTCCAGACACACAGTGGACATGGACAGCTCAGCCTCTACTGCACTGCTGATTATCCAGTAAGACTGGAGGGTCCCCTCCTATAAAGTGCCCTATGACTACAGACACCATACACTGAGGTAACAGGTCATCTTGGAGTCAGAGGTCAGCATAGATAACACAGGCCTAATAATATCATCTTCTCACAGTGTCTTTGAATCAACAAAATTCAGACAGTTTCAAGAACAGAAATATGCAGCTGTTACCTTTAAATAACAGACACACTACTTGGTGTTCTCATTCAGATTTCCCACAAGCATATGAGGAAAAAAATGGGTTCATGCTGCTTCAGCCTTTGAATTTAAATAGTTACAGTGAATCTCAAGACAGGCCAATATGGATCTTCGGAGAGTGCTGCCTGCATACCCAGCTGAGGCATGTACATCACTCCCACACAGCCACACATGTGAGATTCAGAGGGAAGAAAGCGCAGAAATCACGACCTCCCTGAAGTCATCTAATTCTGCTCACAGATAAACATATTGCATATATAAAAAATGAACACAGGCACAAATGGTTAAGAAAGTAATAATTAAAAGGAAGCCTAAAGGAATAATGAAGTAATTTAACATTTAAAATTGCTTTAAATAGCTCACCTTGCTTCAGAACTCAAATGCTGGCAAAGTCTTTGTGAAGTAGATTTTATAAATTCTACCATTTCGACAAGAGACTTTGTCATTAATGCTTAGTACATACAAATAAATTATTCATTAGTAGAACTCAAATTTGCATTTTATTATACTCCGTAAAATATACAGGATTCTTGAAGTACTGAAAGAGTGCAGGTAAATACAGTATTCAAGCAGCCACTATTTCTATGTACATGCTCATTAATTCTTCAAAAACCCCACAAAATTATCAAATAGATCAAAATATTGTCCCGTGTTTCCACACTATGTTCAGAAAAGCAGCTGTAATTTACAAACGTTTCCAGTTTCACAATACAAAAAAAAAAAGGATAAAAATGAAATTGGAATCGGTTTGTAGTAATTTATTTGTACTTTGCCAGGACATGCAAGGATTCCTTGCATGTACATAAACAAATTCACTTGAAAAGTAACAGTTATAGTTAAAGCAGAGCCAAATAAAGTAAATATTCATATTTAACAGACAAAACTTCAGCTTACTTATGTCAGTTTTTCATTCTTCAGGCAATTAAAAAAAACCAGAGTAGTCTGTTATAAATTAAAAAAAAATATTTGGGCAAGTCTGAACTACGTTACAGGGACCTGTTTCTGCTGTTTATTTTCTAAATGGAGCACAACAAAGATACACAGCTCTTCCCACAGACCAGACACTGTACTTTTTTCTCTAATAGGGAAATATACTTTTAAATTCACCTCCCCCCCACTTTGTAACTCCGGGATTAAAAAAAAAAAAAGGTGATAGGGATAAACAATTTTAATCTTACATACAAATTTATGATGTAAGGAAGTGGATAAATTATGGAAAAGAACTCTCAGTCACAAGAGGGTTATCAAGACATTTCAATTCATTTTACGCATTTTCATAGTTTCCAAGTTACTCGTGTATTTTTAAATTAAGAAAAATCTCAATCCAAAACCCAAGTTAAAAAATCCCTAAAACTGTGCAACAATTACTGCTTCCCTCCCACATCTCCCACCCCTTCCCTTGTTTATTACACTGTACATTTTTCACCCTGACTTCACCTTGTTAGCTGGTTTAACTTCAGTATTATAAAAGTATGACAAGATCATTTTCATTTCATCTAAACGAAAAAGAAAATAAAACTTAAAAGTACATCTGCTTTCTTTCATGGTACATTTAATAGTGTCGGAAGGCTTTCAGAGAATTAAAAAAAATAAAATTCAACATTTAAACCCAAATCTAAGCTTCTTTTCCAGAAGTAATTAACGTTTGGTTGAAACAACTTCTCAAATAACCTATTCCAGTTTTCACAAAAATTTATTTAATTAAAAAAATCTTTAAGTTATTTGGTCCTTTGGCAATTTGCAGCACAAACAATGCCTACTGTACCAAACTCATTTATTGCCTTCAAAATGGTTTTAGTTTTATTGAGAATATTTAAATCTAGCATCCTTTGTGTTGAACAATAGTGTTGTTCATTTACATCAAGTCGGGTGCCCAGTCTGCAGGAATTACTCCCGGCACCAGAAACAGAATGGTATTAATACCGTTAAATAAAACAGTTTTGACATTCTTTTTTTTTTTTTTTTGCCATGGATTCCAAGTACTTATTCAAGAATTCATGCTTCTTCTGCAAAATATGCTCTTAAAAATCTTCCTAGAGTCTCACGATTTTTTTTTATGCAACCACAATAAAAACATCTTCTCAAAGGTCTGTCCTCTTTCTATATTCAAACACCACCAGCTTTCCAACAGCACAAGTCTGACCTTCCAGCGTGAGGGTTCACTCCTCAGACCTACAAAATGTAGCTTCTAGTATGTCTCAGAATCCGAGTCATTGAGCTCGTCGTCTTCTGTATATGGATAGCCACCTTCCCTGCCAATGTTGTTGAAAGTACAGTAAGAGCTGTGGTCACTCCTCATGATTGGCAAGGAATCAAAGGTGACAGTTTTTGAGGCGTTGGTGTAATGATTAATGGCATTGAAGGTAAGTGCAGGTAATGTGCTGCTTGATGAAACAGGCATCATGGTGGCCAAAATGAGAGCCAGGCAATCGGCCACATCCTTATTGGGTGCGCAGGCCAAAGCCGGTGTGTAACCTAGGAATTCAAGAAAAAGCAAAACCTTCACTTAAAATAAAGACAACGCAAAAGTTTCTCCAAGATCATATCATCTTTCAGCTGCGAAAGTATTTTATATTGCTTAGTTCCACACTGTTTAAAAAGTAAAAAAAATTTAATGCATTATCAATTAGGATTTTTAAACTTCTGGTTACAAAAACAAGCTCGAAGTTAATGGGCTTTGCAACAAAGATATAATTGTTTTGTTAAGCACAGTTAGATACTTTAGGCCAGCGAAAAAAGCCTGGATCTGAAAACGGTGAGGGAGTCACCTGGCTGAGGAGAGACAAGTAATGGCAGCCAACAGTGGGTGAAGGCATTCACTAAAGAGCCACTGCAGAAACCAGAGCTCATCGTGTTAAATGTTTCTTCATCCAGAAGCTTCCATCACAGCTGCTAGTCACAGACAGTTAATTTAATAATGCTGCCTTATCTCAGTAACAAGCTGGCTAAAGCAGCAGGGACAGTTAATTGAAAAGGCAGAGTATACACTGTCAATTAACCTATACTTTATTACAATATACAGTAATGTAAACTATAAAGCCAAAGCCTAACTTTATTTTGCAAGATATCAATTAAGAAATCCACAGAAGTTTGAGGAAATGCCAGCTGGGTTAGCAGACTAGGACATGCAGAGACACCTCTTGGTTGCCCAACTGGTCCAGACAAACTACTGTGACAACCCCTAAATGCTAGAGGTCTCGGGACATGGAATGACCTGCAGTCAAGTCATATATAGCTGTGACATCTCTTCTGGGTAACCATGGTTCTAATAATCCTCAATACTGCTCCTTCTGCAGCTTCCCCCATTCCCTGTACTTGCCCCTATTCATTCAATGTCAAGAAAAACGCTTCAAATTCTCAGTGGAGATCTGTGCATTGCTTCTGTTTCAAGCTTAACCATTCAGCATGGCACCTGAGGGTAAGTTCTGGCACAGGTCTCAAGTGTATCTACAGCACCAGGCACCACACTTGGTGGTGACACCGGCAGCTCTAGAAGCAGGGCAGTCATGTATGTACAACCACAGATCACAGCTTATTCTCCTGATCAGAATGGGACAGGTTCCCTCTCCCTGGCTCCACCCAGCAGGGTGTGCCCAGATCACCCTGCAGCACCTTCCACTGTGTGCGACAGACATTCCCACAATGAGCTCCATAGGAAGACGCATGTTCAGGTACGTGTGGGAGTCTGCAGTCCTGTGCATTACCCCCAGTCCACAACTTAAAGGTGTACGACATCCAAGTAAAAAGCACACAAGTAATTTTAATTAACAGATGGCTTTAAAAGCAAAGAGTATGATGGACTTCTATCCAGACCTTAGGAAGGCACGGAAAACAAGGCAATGCCTGTTTTACCAGTGAATGTTTCAACTACTAAGGAATCATCTTTATTGTAGAAGTAGATCCAGGTCAGGTTTTAGGATAGAGCTCAGGAGCAGTTATTGTATTATACAATTGCATGTAAGTTTTAAAGAAATAGGCACATTATGGAAAATAATTGTAGCTAGAAATTCAGAAAACAGCAAGCAGGGGACAGTCTTGCAGTTGAACTATTATTTGCTCGGGACAGACCTTGTGCTTGATGCTTGGAACGGAGCAAGACAACAGTCCCTGCCCAAAGGAGCATACAATCCAAGGAAACACAGATAATTCAAGCACAAAACGCACCAGCTGACCATGCGATAGGGCCGTACAGAAGTGCAGCGCAGCAGATGTTTTCATTGTTAGTAAGGTACCACAGCACTTAAACAGCTCAGAGTTAACAGTGACAGTCTGCAGAAGAGATACATTTTGAGAGGATTCAGAAGCAAGGGCCAGAGCTTGCCACACTTGGATGATGACTGCATTTCAGGCATGTAAGGCAGAACAGAAGGCTCAGAACTGATACCCAGATGCACACCATTTAATATCTACAATTGCTGGAGGTTGTATGAAGGTAAGATGACACAAAAAGTAAGTTTATTCCAGTTGGTCATACTAAACACCATTTCTTTCCCTAATGTAATTTGATAATAGTTTAAAGAAGAAAAACAAGCAGTCACCTGCTACCTTTTTAGTTTCTTTTTGTTTGGCTCCCTCCCCCCCTTTTAAAGACTGCTAAGATCTTGAGTATTCATACTTACATTCCTTCTAGAACAGAGCATCCCAGTTCATCATAAAAAAGGCCAATGTAAAGATCAAACAGAATACTTGTTTTTGTTAAAAGTTCTTTGTTCACTAAAAACTGTGTTTATAATAATATTCAATTATAGGTCTTAAGCTCCTGGTTTTCATAAGCAGAAATGAAATATCACAGTTTTATTCTTGCCTTAGACATAGCTTGCACCATGAAAGTCTGACATCTGTGTCCTCTACCACTTTATTTTGGCCTATATTAATTTAAATTTAAAAGAATGAATTATATTTTTATGTCACTTAACTGTAAAACGATCATTCATATGTCAGGGCAACGATAGCTATAAATATTTTAAATTTTAAGAGTATGTTGGTAAACATACCGACTCCACTGAAATACTCCTACTCAATTCTGGTACAACGTTCCCCATATTCCGCACTTGTTGTACCTGCATAAGCCTTCACAAAACAACAAAATTACTATCATCATTTGTAGATGGGACAACAGAAGCACAGTGAGCTGAGGCAGCCTCCTTGCAGAACAGAAAAAGGAGCCTGTGTGATGGACACTGAATTAAGACTAGGGCTTCCCCTGCCCAAACACAGAGCTGCCCCCTCCCTACCCTGGGGGTTGAAAGTCTCCATGAAGACACCTACAGGAAAATCAGAGGTTTATTAATGCAGTGCAACAAGAGTTCCCAAGATAAACTCAAGGAAGTGTTACACTGGAGAAGAGATGAGAGTCTGAGGAACTAGTCATCTTGTAAGCACTCACAGAAAAATTCCTTCCAGAAAACTGGAACTCCAATATAAACTAGAATACAATGCTTGGAAAAGAACTAGACCAAAAAAGACAACAAAAACCCCAACACTCAGAAAACCTCAAAGCAAACTCCCTCCCCTTTTTTTTTAGAAAGCTTGAAAGGCCAACAATAACTGTAATGATGAATCTAGAAAGAGAAACCTCCATACTATGGAGTCTCCAGAGAATGCCTCCTCTCACTGCTGTGGTGCACGTGCATTTGACAAATAGAAGACAGACTATACCAGGAAATATAGCTAGCCTAGAAAGTTAAATAGACTACAGAACAAAAAAAAAATTGAGAAGTTGGTTGAGTGACCAAAAGTAAAACTTCATATGGTGTCAAATGAAAGAAAAAGCTAGTAATTTCTTTTAAGACAGGTAAACTTACATAAATAATGTCAAATTCAACAGTATTTTGCAAATGCAAGTGATCTAAATTTCATCATGATTGGTGTGGAAACATGGGAAAAGAACTGAAAGATGTGAATAAGAACTGATACAGAACTGAGAATAAACCCTCAACATGACTGCTTTTGGAAAGTATACTGGACAGTTAATTTGCTTTTTCAGTTGCATTTACTCTTTTAAGAACCAGGAGGATTAATTTTTTCCTGACATTAATTCTTAAACCAAAGTGATCTCACCACACTAACAAAAGTAGTGTGACTTCAAAGCTAGAGTTTTAAATATCTTATAAATTATTTATAAACTGAAATGCAGGTAATTGGAGAGACATTGGGTTTTTTTTCAAAGCTCATATTTTTCAACAATGATTATAACTCAGATCCAGCAGCAGAGGACTCAATTTATACAGCTGTAGATACAAATAGAGACTGCTTGCAAAAAGTCAATGCAGCTTTTACAGAAAGGGACAATTTCAAAGACAAAAAGTGGATCATCACTCCATAACAACAAAGGTCCTGCTGGTTACATGTTCCATATATCAAGACATTCCAAAACAGTGAAACTTTCTAAAATTAAAACTAAATCACCATTTAATCTAATTCTATCTGAAATGCTGAACTTGTGTGGCATTTCTGAATAAGATCTCTGAACTTATCTGGACTATGCTAAAGTAAGAGAATGTCAGTGTTGTGATCCAAAATATTCCAGGGCGTATTTCTTCAGTCAGAAAAAGAATTCCTGGTGAATATTCTCAAGGCTGCTTAAAATTTTATAAACAAAGCAATTGCTTATAGAAAGAAAAGAACCACAGTGAAAAAAAGATAACACTCAGTTACTTTAAAATTTAAAATATGAACGGAATTAAAAAGAAGATTTTTAGATTCCCAGGCTGCCAGAGAACTTTGACACAAATGTTTTTCTTCTGTTATGTCAGAGATCCAAGGGATCTTTGTCTTACAAGGGACTGGCTGGTTGCACATCAGAAGCCCACAAAGATGCAAAGTTCTCCAGTCAGCATACATGTGATAAGAAACAGAAATAAAAACGATATATTTTCCAATCTTTTAATTTTAGGGAGTTTCGTTTAGCAGTTACCCCTCTCCCCTAATTTAGGCAAGGAATGATCTTTAAGTCACTCATGTGAATTTATGCAGTGTAATCTGAGAAACACACAGAGAAAGTCACTATGAACATAAAGAGAGGAAAAACTTTTCAAAGTGGAAATATAATTATAACTATTAATTAGACACGTGCCTTCTGGAAAAAAACCCAAAGGAAACAAACAAAAAAATCCAACAAAAAGCAATCCACTCCCCAGTCCCAGCTACAGCTTTCATTTAAGACACATTGGGGTATGGCATAAGAGATGGAGCAGAGTTTCTGAGGACCACAGATGTCTTACATGAAAACACGCAAATTAGTCAGTAGATCTAGTTTTCTTTTGTTCTTACAAGGTGTATGATTTATTCTCATGATAAAACAGTTAATTTTTCTTACTTCTATGTGCAAAAAAACTCCAAAAAGCCAGAAGCTTGAGACCAGTAATTGAAAGCTGCTAATCATACTTGATATTTGCTTTTAAAAGCTAACCCTGATATACCTAGTGTGACAAAATGAATAGCAATTCAATCCAGCTTCTTAACAGCTGAGAGTTATATTTTACATCGAACACTATTTTTTTTTGACCATTTTTGGTATGCCACAGCCAGTGCATTTCTAGGTGCATCATAAAACTACATTTACAGTGCATCATAAAACTACAAATGCAAACCAAACACTTTTAGGCCATGACCCGCATAGTTCTGAAAAGTTTTCACTATCCTTATACTTCTGCTGCTTTGCTAAAATGATCCATGACTAATGCATTTTCTTCTTTGGAGGACCTACTGCAAGGCTCATATGAAGTTTCCACGGAGTTATTGCTTTTCAGGGAGTTGAGTTTAGAATCACAGTTCCTTACAGGGAAACAAAGTTAAATTTTTCTTACCATTTTCATCTACAGCAAGTACACTTGCTCCCTTCCCTAAAAGCTCTTGAACTACAACCGTTAGTCCATTTCGAGCAGCAACATGCAGAGGTCTGTGAAGACAAGCAAACTCATATATAAACCTTAGAACAAGTTATTAAGTAAAATAGGTAGCTTGCATCTAGTTAGATGCAGTACTTATACTCCTGTGTTATTCACACATTATATAAATATCGTAGATATAATAATTAAGATGGGAAAAGCAGCCGATCTCTTTTCTTATTGCAAAGAAACTACAATACCAATTGTGAACTTTCTTCTTTTTATGGCAGCACACAGTGAGGAAGCAGCTGCTAGCAAAGACCTTCCTGCTTATGGACTTTATTATGTTAAAATGTCAGAAACACCTCACGCCCTACTGTTGATAAATCCTTCACTCAACTGTTGTAACAGATATCTTCACATCTGAGAGTTACTGCATATCACTGCATCAATCACTAGAACCCTAACAGCTGGATGGTAGTCATATTTTATTGCATGTAAATGCTTACAAGAGATACAAAAGCATTTAATCAATCTGTCTTTTAGGAACCACTATATTCCACTGAGATTAGAGATTAAAAAAATATTTCACAGTATAATGCATGAAGCGAGAAAAGCAGATTACTTTTCAAAACTTCAAACTATTAACTATAAATCAATTTTGTGTTGCCTTGATCTATGAAGGAAAGTGTAGCTTTATCTCAAATATTCTATCTTTTTCAAATCCAAGTTTTTCAGAATTGGTTCCCACTGGCTTAAATAAAACCCTACCACCACTCAGCAGGAAACAGGATAAACAGCTTACTTCCCCTCTGCTCTATATTGCTCTTCATTCATTCTAAGATTCTTAAAGTTGTTCAAGTTAACTGTGAACTATATTTTGAGTTGGAAACAAGTGCCTTACCTAGAGACCAGAAATGTAAAAGATACAAATAGGAGCAGCTGCACCTATGGTGTTTATATTAAAATATTAAAAATTCAAGAATTATCGCACACCATGGACATACTGAAAAATGTACTGTAATTAAAATAATTTTAATATAGAGATCAACAATTTTAATTCATATCTTGCCACAAAGAAGGACTTAGTTTAAGCTGTTCAGAAAGTCAATTTAGTTATTAAACATTTGTTAAAGCAGTGATATTTTAAACATCTGTTAAAACCTTGCAATTTATATAAACATTTCATGGAGGTGCAAATGTGTACCTATTTTCCCCCATGACATCTCTCGATCAGAGCCAAGGCACATGGGTGGAATTACAAGAGCCTGTGGTAGCATACTTTCCCACTTCTGTTCCCATCTCATTTTTGTTTTCCTTCTCTCAAGACATCCTTGCTTCAAGCCAGAAAGAGGCAATCAATCCCCTTCCTGCTTTCTGGTTATTTCAAGCTGCCTGAGGTGCACCATGGTGAGCAGCAAAAGCAAAGGAAGGAGTCTTACTATTTTAACTCCTTAGTTCAAGCAGATCTCAAGCAGATCTCAGGGAATAGCTGGAAGAACTGCAGGAGTTTAAATAAGACAAGATTCCAGAAGGGATGTAATGCCAGAACAATATTCGAGTTCCTTACAAGTTCCAGTTTTGTTTTTTTTTTTTTTTCTAAATGATCTGTGATAGCATTATTAAAGCAGTGCAACAATTCATGTGCCTAACTTGGCTACACATGAGATATCAATTATTGTCTGTAACACAAACATATTCTCTAAAAGGAAAAAACACAGAAGAGTCATTTTAATAGCCCATCCTGATTGGTATGACATACTATACATTTCTAAGCTTTCCTTATGATTTGGGCTAACAAAATAGGCTTAACTCTACTTGAGAGAAGATCTTTAGGAACATTTAGGAATAGCGTATTCTCCATGATATTTAATAGTAGTGTTTCATCCTCAAAACATGAAATAGAAAGCATGCTGAAGAATAAAAGCACAGTTCAGGTAGTTGGTGGTTTTTTAAGTAGCTATCTTTGAAGACCAAATCTTAGTTTGCCTTGAATGAGTTGTTAACTGAAGCGAATTTTAATTGAAAATTTGGATAATTTTTAAAATAGAAAAATATTGGTTCACAGGTAATCTCAGTGGATTGCAGTAATTCCACACAGGAATCACAACAATGTTTTATTTATCATCCCTTTCACCCATCTAAAATTGGAACTTCAGGTATGAGCCAAACACCGTTTCAATTCCAAGTCAATTTAACTTTTGGTACCTGATAAACAATTAAAATTCAACCAGTTTGGGGAAAAAAAAATCTGAAAAAGATGCCTCTTTATGAACAAGATATACACCAAGAACTCATCTTTAAAATACCCTCACTGCTGATACGTACGTTTGCAAGGCTGCATTGGTGGCATTGATGAGGTTTCTATCCGTAATCTTCTCCAGTATTAACAAGGCACTAGTTTCATGACCCTTAAACACAGAACAAACATCTGTCATACAGCAAATACTCTTCACAAATTGCTTTGAATGCTTTTTCAAAGTCACAGTATTTTCAAAGAGTGCTTGGTAACACAAAGCGCAGCACTGGTAAGTCAGACCACACACACCTTACTGCAAGCCAAATGGAGTGCTGTGTTCTTAGAACTGTCTTGCAAAGTCAGATCAGCCTTAGCACTGCTAACCAGCACCTCTGGGGAAATAAAGATTTGTATTAACTAAAAGCATATTCCTTAAAATCTAAATGGCTCACATTTGTGCAAAATGAAAACAGAATTTTGACAAGAATGTTAACTGTAAGGCTACTTCACCCCAGTAAGATTAACAAAGCTAAGAGCAGAGATACAAAAAGTTTTCTCTTTACCAACTGTATTCGTCTGTCCATTTTCTGCAGCCATCATTAAAGGTGTTTTCCCAGAAGAATCTACAGCATTTACTTGAGCGCTGTGACCAAGCAGAAGCTGTAGACACTCAACGTGATCTGTAAACGCTGCTGCATGCAGAGGAGTTCTATAAGAGATCAAAAGAGAGTATGGCCATGTTCAGCCATGCTTTCTACTTTATTCAAAGGAACATCCTGACAGATCCTACAAATACAAAGGTCTGGGCAGTCCCTCCCACTGATCCTCTGCAATCAGTATTGCTGAAGCTGTAATTCCTGCCTTTAGAAAGTCACCTTCTAGTTTCAAATAATTCCCCCCCATTTAGTTTATAATAGAGATACAATTTGATTCAGAAAAATTAAAAGATTTATAAAATGATATCCACAAAGTGATACAACTTAAAACATGCTCTAACTTGCCTGTATAATGAAAAGCTAATCCAAGTTTATTAAATCAGAACTAGATTTTTAAAAATCCAAAATTTATTTCTAGCACAGAATAAAAAAAATAAACCTTCAGAGAATAAAACTGGGGAATGAGGAATTAACATAAGTAGCAAATACAAAAACCCCAAATGATTGAAGAATTAAGCACAGCCGGAGTATGACATTACAAACATTCTTTTGTGCATTTATACTCTTACCTTCCTTTCGAATCTGTTGAATTTACAATACCAGCACCTAACGTATCAATTAACATTTCTGCAGCACCTTCATTGTCATTTATCCTATAACGAATTAAACAGGCTGTTATTTACAGAATGATAAATCTTTTGTTATATACAGCAATGAAATATATGAAGAATAATTTTACACTTCCTTACACAGCACAATGCAAGGGACTGAAAGAATTTCCTTCCATTTTCTGAAAAATTTCCTGTTCCAGAAGCAGCTCTACACAACTGTCATGACCTAAAGCAAATGTCAGAGTTAGGTATTACAAAAAAGGGAAAAGGTATAATGATGGATTACAACAAAAAATATATATCTAAATTAGATTAAGCAGTATTTTATTTCAAAGTTTCTAAGAAAGACTGGTTATATTCAACAGGGCTACGTTAAGGAACTAAGGTATTTTTAGAATCCTGAAAATCAAACTGTAAATTTTATTAAATTTAGAACATATCTCATGATGTCTGAAAAATATCCAGAACACTTAGTTTAATTCTTTACACCTCTGAATTTCAAACTCTTCTGTACATTCATCACTTTGTCTACATGAAAACATCTCCATCATTTGAGCTTTATTTTTGTTCACTGACTTGCTAAACCCAAATAAAAATGAAGTTGATAGTCATAACAAAATCTTAAAAAGAACACATTCAACCCATCATACTAATATTTTAAAAATTCTATACCCTGCTGCTGGACAGGTAGCTAACAATGGTAACTATTTATTTGATCTTCAATGCCTATACATAGAATACCTTAGCTCAACATTCACTGATGTCTAAAGATTTGAATTTTCATAAGTCCTGTCAAATTTTCATCCTACAAATCAAGCATTTCTCTCAGTTCTGTTTTATTCAGAGATTGTCGCCGCTGTGAAAATGGACCAAGTTGCAAGAGTTTAATTTTATGAATGTGATAGAGACGTTATTTTAGTTCAAATTATCACCCAGCTGCATCAGCTCAGTAGTTATTAACTTAATAATAAGTGGAATAGACCCTTACTTCTTCATTTTTCTCTATCATGTCATTCAGGGGTGAAATAAATGACCTCTACTACGTCAGAGATGAACATACAGAACAAAATCTTTAGCAAAGGAGCTGAATGAATTTCCTACCTTTTAAGGCCTCCCTCACTCTCAAATACATGAAAAGTATCAGTGAAGAAAAAAATAAATTCTTATGCAATCACTTCTATATACTTTAGCTTCTTATGCCTATCATGCTTGATATGAAGCAAGTTTAAAAACAGATTTAATCTGAAAACATTCCTCCCAAGACTCCCTGTGAAGGTTATGTTTTTGGGATATGTGGCCTATTTCTATTTAAGGATACTATGCTGAATTTCTTGAAAAACTCCTTGAGGCATAAGAAGATCATATATAACAAAAATATAGGACAAAAATAAACATCTCTTATTATGTATTAGATGTTAATATATTCCTCTTCAAGATACCACATCTGTCATATTCTCCCATTGACTAATACAAACAGAAGGAGGACCGACTTTATATGTTGCTTTTCTAGGGAATAATAACTTCTACCTCAGTATAAACAAACACATTTAGAGCTGTATTTTAACTTGGCTGTATGTTACCATTATAGCAGGCCCAATGCAGTGATGTGTAGCCATGATTGTCTGCTATTGCAGGTACTGCATCCACTGATGTAGCTGACTGCAGGAGAGCTCCCAGAACACCTATATGGCCACAGGCAGCTGACAAGTGTATAGGGGTTCGTCCCCTACAGTCTCGTAGTAAGGACTTAGCACCATGTTGAAGCAATGCTTCCACACATTCCTCATGCCCAGTAACTGCCTGTAAGAGGGAGAGGAAAGAGCGAGTTGGAAAATATTCATATATATAAGCCAAGGTGTATAACTAAAGCAAGCAAATCTCAGGCAAATCCTTGCATTTTTAATTAATAACAAAATAAGCAAAATAAGTTATTAAACTTGAAAGCTGCCATTCTTTTGGAAAAATGGCAATGTCTTGTAATCTTGATGAGAGAATATTTTCTTGGAATAACATGGAATGAACTGCTAATCTCTAGGGCTCATTCAATTGTCTTATCTGGCAGAAACTATAAACAAAATATTTGGAATATGGCATGCATCACACTTTTCTTCCTCCCATAAACATTAACTCCCCACCCTCAACAAAAAGCTGTACTCCAGGACCTCTCCAATCAACACTTTACAGCAAGATTAAGACACTCTAGAATTACAAAAGAATTCTGAGGGTAGGTTGCAAACAGGCAAAAACCAGCCTTTTGAATGCAACTAAAAAGACGATTAAAACTAAGAATGGCAAGATGAGAATAATGAGAAATTGAATACCACCACATACTAAGTCTGTTCTTGAAATAAGGACGTATAAAATGCTCAAGAAAAGAGAAGGAATATTATCTTACCCCTCTATGCAATGCTGTCCTTCCCCACTTATCTTTGGCATCTACATTTGCTCCTTTGTTAAGGAGTGAATAAACGCAGTCCGTGTGCCCGTTGAGAACTGACATCATCAGAGGAGTCCTAAGCAGAGAGTAAAATACAGTGTAATCTACCTGGAAATGTAATAGAGTAGCACTCACCTGAACTACAACAACTACTATCCTTCTAGTTGAAATTGTTAAAATTCACGTCATGAATGATCTCCTCTGGCACTACCTTCACTATAAGAATGCCAGTCATTTGGTTTATAGATTCAAGAAAATAAATTCATATCCCCTAATTGCAAAGTCCTGATTCAGTTACTAGAATCCATTTTCTCAGCATCTAGACAATAAGACACATTTTAGTTCCCTCCCAACTGAACATTTTTCACTACCAACATTATGTTTACATAATACACAGTTGTATTTGTCCAAATTCAAATATAATCTCTCTTTAAAATAATAAGTTAAAAATCACCACTGTAAAATATTTAGTTTGTCCTTTTATGAAATGCAGTAACTTGTGAAGAATGGAATGTCTATCATTCAAACTCACTGTCCATTTCCATCTTGAATGTCCACTGCATTCTGTGGTTCTGCATTTCCTATCAATAGCCGCAAACATTCTGAATGACCATTTGTAGCTGTAAAACATTATAAAAATAAGGGGTTTACATTAATTGCCTTTGAGTATATAGCTCAAACAGAGCACTAACCTGCTCAGACTAAAGCCCATTAGCTTGAAAACTCATTGTACAGTTTTACCATTGTTATAACTTAAAATATGAACACTAGAAAATAATTTCAGAAGTCAGGTATTCTCAATTGTACAGTATTAAAAATAATTGAGTCAAGTTGTCAATTGCCAACAATTTTTTTTTACATATAAATGAGATTGCACACATTAACCATAATTAGAATATATGCTTATATGACATCCACAAGAAGGAATAATTAAATATAGTAATTAGCATAAATTTTGCTTGTTTTAAGGCACAAATAACCACATAGCAAATGATATACAGATTTTGTTAACAAGTGTAGCATGAGCATAGTTATAAAATAATAACTGAAATCACACTTAGAAAGGGGAAGGAAATGTAATGTATAGATGTAATAAACCAAGCAGTTAAGACATGGGGAAAAAAAAAGAAACAAAAAATTGAGAAATCACATTTAAATGCAGCTCATGAAAGATAAATGATTGCTTCTTGGAATGGAAATTGTTTCTGACCTACAGCTGCAGTATTCAGTCCACATAAGAACAGCAACAATTCATGCTTCTGTAGCTGACAGAAATGCTAACACAAGTTAAGAAAGCTAAATCAAATAGAAGAATACAGCTTGTGCTCATGGACAACAAATTAAATGGTTAGAATGATGATATTTTGTATATAATGCTCTTTTAACAGCAACATTTCTGTAACAGTATTACTATAAATGTCAACTTTAATAAGCCTATTTTCAGAGAGAGAAAAAATAAGAATAGAGTATGAATGCTAGACTCTGAGAAAGGTAGGCTTAGACATATTTTCTAGGAAATTCAGCGAGAAAAGGACTGCTATTACCTTGAAAATGTTCAGGAGTCATTTAAATCCTTGGAAAAAATCCAAGTAAATTTTCATGTCTCTTCTCAAAGTGTCAAAATTCTCCAAGAGTCCAGTCATTTCTAGAAGTATTTTACTGCCAAGACAGGCAACACAATTCACCTATCTAAGTTTGGGCTGTGTGCTGACACCCATGAGCACAGCTAGCTCAGCCAGTTGAATGGACAAGGACAACGTACCCTTCCAGAGGGAAGTGTGGAACAGCACTCCTTGAGCCAAACTGATTTACTAGATTAATAGTGCTTTCTACTCAAAACTGTTTCGTTATACTTTATCATCTATTCCTACACATTGTTTCTTAGAACATTAATTACACTTTGAAATACAAAGATGATCCACTTCAAAAGACAAAATTTTAGAAGTTAGACCATACCTGCAGCATGTATTGGAGTTCTCTTTACAACATAATCTTTCACCAAGATGGATGCTCCCTGATTAATGAGCACATCTACACATTCCACATGGCCCTTAAAGGCAGCAAGATCCAGTGGTGTCCTTCCATTGTTATTCCTCACATCAAGGTCCAGCAGTGACTGTACCAGCACTTCCAGAGCTTGATGGTGGCCATGATAGGCCTACAAGAATAAAAAAATTCTTCAGTTTTCCCATTCTTCACATTTTTTTTTCTTTCTTACCAAGACTACATGAATGAAACCATTAAGATAGCATTTTTGTTTTAATATTTAGAAGAGGTACTGATATAGCACATAAGTAGTTACAACAGTTATGACTAATTTAAAAAATCCCACAATTTCAGCAAAAAGGTTGGTGGTTTTTTTCTCTATTTTATCTATCTATCTTTTTTTTGTTTTATCCTTTCAGCAGCTGCAACTACTTTCACAAAATCATCTGTCTTCAATTTGTAAAACTAACAGTACTTTGAATACTGCATGTTTCATTGCTTTACGTCATAGTTACATCATACTGAGATTATTTCAAGTGAGGAGCATAAGCAAACTTAAGCAATTCCTGTTAGCTTTTTACATAAAGTATTTAAAAAATCCAGTAAAAAGAATACAGTACAAATAGCTGTCATTTACCAGTATTAAGGATTATTTTTTCCTTTGGCGATATATATATAGGTACTGCATGAGACTTACTCTATTTTCAGATAGTACAGTGTGGTTTTTCATTTGCCTGAAGTTCAGTGAAAAGATGAAAGCTACATATTCAGCTGCTTACTCTGTATTTTGAGTATATTTGTATAGACAGTTTCATCACTGTCCTACACTACTCTGTGAAAATCTTTCTTCAAGTATTAAGGAAAAATATTTCTCTTACTAAACAACAAGGAGAGTAAAACAATGTGGTCATTAAAAAAAAGTCATAATTACTTACAGAACAAGTCATAAAAGTTTCATTAGTATAAATTATAATATAAATCTTAATTAGAAGATTCCACATGAAAGCTGTTCCATGAAGCAAGTTTCAAGTGAAATGCAAAAACCACCCTGTATACCTCATTCAGGAATATTAGTGCATATGTTTGCATTTTTATTGTTATTAAGCTATTTTGAAAAAATTCAGAATGGATAAACCTGTGCAACCACTGTGTGCCACTAGAAGAGCTGTCATCACTAAAGAACAAAACACTTACAGCTAAATGCAGTGGACTTATAGGTGCTCTGTTGTCTGAATCATTCAGCATGTCAGTACCTGATGTTTCCATTAGCTTAGAGAGAGAAAGTCAGAGTAAGTGCAAAACCCCTCATCTTTAAAAACACTTAGCAATAATTGCTATAGTTTCCAGTATACACAGCTTGAAAAGGAAAAAAAACAGGAAGAATAATATAAAATTACTATCTCCTGATCTCCTTCAACCTTTTACAGAGTTTAAATTACAGTGACTGCAACCCTTCCCCCATATCCAGCCCCTAAGCCCAGTTGGTTAATTTTGCATAACAAAGTAATAATTAAATCTAAGAAACTAAGCTAAAATCATTTTTTCTGAAGCAGCCATGTGAAATAATATAGATGAAATGTATACAAAGAGAAGACAAGGACAGCTGATAGCAGCAGGAAAAAATGAAAAACCAACCAACCAACCAAGTAAGCTTTTAGATTAGGTGAAACATCAGCAAGAAAACAATATGAAAGGCCAGAAGGTAGGATTGACTTCTCAGAACAGAAAAACATTTCTGAGAGCGAAAAAATGGTCTCAAAAAAGGCAGTGGCAGTATGGTATTAAAATACCTATGTATATACATTTCTATCAGTTACTTTCAGATGTATCCAAAAGTTTTCATTCTGGGTCTTTTTCAAGACCATTTAACTGAGTACACAAGTAGAATTAAAACATTCAAAGTGGCTGAAGAACACAACATACATTCAAATTATGTTTTCATTATCACAGTTTTATAACATGGTCATACAATTGTTTAAGTAAAAAAGTACATGGCTTAAAAAATAATTTCCTATTTTAAAATTCCAAAGTGCAATTAAATCTAAATTGTAGTTGAAATTAAATAATATATTTATGCATTGAAGAAATGGTTGAATAAGTCTAAAAATAAGCATTATTTTTGAAATTACATGTTCTCTTTTGCTGTATAGCAGTACTTTAACAGTGAGAAATAATACACTTACAACATCTAGAGGTGTTTCGCTTGCAATCTGCAATTAAAAACAGTAAGAATTCATGTTTGAACACGAATATAAAACTGCAATTGGAATAAAAATACTGAAACTGTATAACACAGCATATCAGATAACATATATATTTGTGCACAAGGAGTAATAAAAAACTAACTAAGGCTTTATTATCTAAAATATCTGGTCAGTAGTTACTGTAACTACATGAATTAATTTTATAAGGCACTCTTTCTTTACAGGTTTTCCCTATATTGTCATTTGCTCCTTCTAATGACCTTCATGAAATTTCTTAGAAGTTCTTGATGGTTATTTTATTTCAGCCATCAGCAAAAAAAATCAGAAGTATAGTCTAAGTTAAGAAACAAAACAAAACTAATATTCCACATTCTCAACCAGAGGATGTCCTCTACTCATCTGAGAATGTATTATCTTTAAAGCCAGTATCCAGCATCTTAGCTCCTCATCTTCTTCTGTTTTAGCAATACCAAATGCTTAAATATTTATGCTTACAGAGGCTGAAAAACAGTATTGACCCAGCTTACAGGTTTAGAGCCAAGGTGGAAGAATCCCCTGGCCTCTCCATCATACTGTGTAAGAGCAGCTGTTACAGCTTTCATCTATGATACGTTTTCTTACCAATTCAAGACACAAGCGATGACCATAAGCCGCTGAATAATGAACTGCATTGTATCCTTGTTTGTCTCGGATCCCCGGATTGGCATCATTTCTTAGCAAGTATTCCAGGCACCTATTCAAATTGACATATGCAACCATGTATCTAAATGTTGAATTTCAACTTAATGCTAAGTGATAAATTGTTCCAATTCAACTGGAAAATAGAATACAGCACACAGGGACACTGATTTAATGTATAACATTGGCTAGGACTAGAAAACAGCTAACTCATTACATCAAAAGTTAAGGTCAATCACAAAACTTCCAAAATTGGAAAGACTCCTACTCTGCAGACATCCTCCTGCATCTTCTGAATTATCTGAATTGGTTAAAACTTGTGTTTCATGGCTACTTTTCTCCTAGATGACACAATTGCAGTTACCTTTCCTAATATCAATGATTACCATTTTGTATGTTTTTCTGCATCAGTACATTCTTTCATACTTATTACAAAAGGAAGACAACCATGGTGGTATCCTGGAGTCACACACACATACACTTCCACAACCAGACACTATTTTTTTGACTTGTTTATACAGTAAACAGACTTAGTTGTTTACATACTTATATCCATCCTACCATTCCTTACTTTCATTACACAAAGTTATAAGGCAGAGCATGATCAGCACAGTTTCAACCACAGACAGTCAGTCAGAAGGATGAAAAATAGGGGATTCAAGTTAGCTCACTTTCTCCCTAGATTTCTTTTTTTAAGAGACTCCATGTGTGCACACTAAATTATTCCAATCAATAACTCTAATAATTCATAATTTTATGTTGTCTATAATTTCAGCAACATTTTACAAAGTCGCTATCACGACCCTAAACTTGTTGGTGAAGCCATTTGGTTTCCGGAAGTGTACAACAGGTCATCCCTTCTCTCTGGGATCACTAAATACTTCTTTATCAGTTAAACAAAATGCATATGAAGATAAAAAATATATTATCCTGTCAGATCCAGCTTGGAATATTTCTTTCTTGACACAGTTTACCTAAAGGTCTCACAGATTACCATTATCAGTAGTGACAAATGGATATACTGACAACATGAGGGTTCTAGTTCCCATTTATCTCATTGAAAATTGTTTGGTAGAAAGTTCAAGGGAATTTCAACATTTTTAGTTGTATGACATGGATATGCTGTGATGTCATGTGGAAAACTTTCAGGAGGAGGTGGCAGATTTAGATTTGAGAGGCAGGAATCCTAATCTGCCCTCTGATCAATGCCATTAAGAGTGCAAACTTGATCATTCAAAACCCCAAGAAACCCCATTCAGTCCTTGGAGAAATACAGGCAGAAATCCTACAAAACCAGCCATCTCCTGAGGGAAGACAGCATGATGCTTCAACATCGGAATTCTGAGTTCCTTCAAGGAACAGCCTGGAGTCAGCAGATGGAACAGTGCAAATTCATCAGCTGAACGAGAACCAGTACCAGCCGCGATGAAATGGAAACACATTTCAGCACAAGTAAAACAGCTGTACCAGGTCAAGGGCCTGATAACCTCATGCACAACAGCAGCTATTTGCTGAAGTAAGACCTGACATTTGCTTTGCAAACAAAGGCTGAAAGTAACAAACCAGGTGAGTGAAGATTAAAGGGGCAAAAAGCTGCAGGAAAATCTATGAACAAGGAAGTGTCTCGTTACAGAGGACTCTGCCTCATTAAAAAGTTGAGACAAGCAGAAGCAATGCCAAGATGCAGTCTGACTTTCATCATTTTGTGCCCAGCATAAAGGAGAATAGGACTTAAGCAGGTAGTGAAAAAGGTAAAAATGCTGAGTTTTAGAGAGTAACATATGTAACATAAGATGTAAGTAACTTTACAACAAGTTCAGCATATCTAATAAAAAGCTACCTGTAAAGCACATCTATGTTTTTAAACCAATTAATTCAGGTTTTATTTGCCCAGTAAACAAATGCCTGGATTTCCTTAATGGCAACCATGCTCACATGATTTTATTTGAATTAAAACGGGAGGAGATTTCTGAGAACTCAAAGACACATCAATTTGTCTCATTAAGTAAAAATTACAGTTCTTACATTTTATTTGTCCACTCATCTAACTTTCTTTGTTAATTTTAATCAGTGATTCTGTGTTAAAATTCATGGCTCATTAATAAACTTTACACGTCATTGGCCTTGGCTACCTAAATTTCTACACTTGTGTACCTTCTCTATGTGTGTGCTCACAAAACCCACAATACAGTAAATATGATGCAGGAAGCTAAGTCTACTAAAAATGCTCAAGTACCCATTCTTTCAGTGCAAACCAGATAATTACTTTTGATGTTTCTTTGCATCCAAGAAAGAGATTAACTTTGCATCTTCCGTATACTTAACTGTCCTCAACAGGTCTCTTAAAAAAAGAGATTAATTGAACTTTCTGAAAGCCCAGGTAAGTTAAATTTATTTCCCATATGCTTATTGGTGAACTGTCCATTAGAAAATTCTAACATAGAAACAGCATGATTTTTTTCTCCCCTAAGATTCTGCTTATTTTACCTCATTCTGAAATCACATTTTTCTCTCTAATCTTGTCAAAATGAGGCTTACTGGTGTTTGTTCCAGATCAGAAGCATTTGTTAAAGATACAGAAGAAATACTTCTAAACTGGAACAAACCAGGATATAATTTTCAACAAAAATATCCTCATCTCTAAACTCCGTCTTTAAAGATGTCTGAACAAAGAACGTAAAACCACACACAAATACATTTGGAATTTCTATATAGATGGCTTCCTGACATGTTTTTTCCCAGGCTTTATATTCCAACTGAATAATCATTTTAACTTAATTCCTGTTTTGAATATGAGTTGAGCAGCACTGGTTTTCCAGCTGTTACTAATCATCTTGCTGCATCAATATAAAAAGCTTCTCCTCAGGCCATTCTGCTTTGCAGCCTGTCTTCCAGAGACCCAAATGTTAATCAGAAGGGCAATACCACGTGGGTCCCACAGACAATCCTTTGAGTTACCTCACAAAGCTCTGCAGTATTGTCATCACCATTTTTGCTTGTGCCTTTTGTAAGACAGATGGCAAAACGATGTCATCTGAAGAACCATTATAGTTTGGAGGTTTTCAGAGCAACAGGGAAGCTAAAATTAATCCTAGCTCAACTTGTAAGAGTGCAAAATTATCTCAGGAAACTCCAGCAGGAATTGAAAGTATATCTAAAAAGCAACAGTTTTATTTTGAAATCTGGCTTTACCTAAAAAAGGGATGTTCTTCAAATGTAAGTTCAATGGCCACGATAATATTCTTTATTTAGCCTTCAAAACCCAATGTGTAAGTTATATGCCACCTCATTCCTATTGCTACCTCACCTTTTAAAAGGTGCTGTACTAAAACAAGACAATATGGTACAAAGCAGCACTTCTCCAGTGAAGGAGTCACTGTATGCATGTGAAATGCACACCATGACCAGTACACATGAGTGTGTGCACAAGCAAGTGCTGCTCTTCTCAAGTCTCCTCAAGATATGCAACATCTGGAGCTTAAGTAACCTCATCAGTTTTATGCTATCTATATACACTTTGCATGACAGCTTTTAGAGCATTAATAAGCATGTACAATATAACTATTAGTTACAAAATAAACATATGTAAGAGATTTCTGGATTTATGAAAGATTCTGGATGCATTTCATTAGTAAAAGTGTAACTATATCACAAAAATTTACGCTCTCAAGAGATAGAGTTGTAATGCCAAACGGGACTATTTTAATCAGGTAACAAATGGAAGAAGCATCTTATATTGAAATGATGAGTTCATGTATATCCTGCTGTAGGCCTACTGTGATTCACAGTCTAGCTTCACAGTGCACTCCTGACTATTTATGCAGATTTTTGGGGCAATATTAAGAACACTCCATAAAACACCATTCTTCATCAGAATTTGTTTGTAAAGCAAAATGACTCTACTGCTCAGAGCTGTCTTAATAACCCCCACAAAAGATATTTACCCAACCACTATACAGCAGATGGGATTAAAACCTCTATTCCCAATGAATTCCTGAATTAAGACATCTCCATTATAGGACATAACAAAATTATTACAATACATTTTACTATTGTTCATTTCCCCCCCTCTGAATTATTTGTTACATAATGTACTTTATATACAATGAACAATACATTGTCAAGTTCCATCTATAAAAATACAAAAAATGCATCTGGCAAATCTGAAGGCAGAGCATACATGACATTCACAGCTCAAATGTTCCTAATGAGAAAGGCTTTAGTACAAAGTATGCCACTTACTTCCCATCTGTGTCTGATGCAGCTGCATAGTGCAGAGGTGTACAACCCCTCTCATCAAGGTCATTCACACTAGCTCCAGATCCCACAAGGGCAAACAGGCACTGATAATTACAATTGGCAGCAGCATAATGGAGTGGAGTTCTTTAGTACACATTTAAATAAAAAGTACAATGGTAAATAACAGCAAAATAATATTATAGAGACAGAAAAAGCAAAATAAAGTGAAACTTAAATCCTCCTTACATTTTTAAACAAGTATTTGTGGTGAAGAATGCAATATTAAAATATGGAGCCATTTTCTAGGGACCATTTAATAATGCAGAACAGTATCTAGGGGATTTATTTGCCAGCCAAAATATGCATAAACTTTGTATTAAAGGAAGCTTTATATGATTTTTCTTTTGTAAACTTGTAGAGGGAAATCAAGTTTACATTAGAAATATTATTTTCTGTTAAGTAATTTCAAGCCACATGGAAAAATATGGACAAATCAAAGAACTGCACAGCAACTAAGTGAATTAAAAGTAAAATACAACAATTAACAAACAGATGTTTTTGATAAACAGACTGGAATTTTGCCTAAGAGACGAAAGCATTATTTATTTATTTTTAACTATACTAACATAGCAGAGTCATTGAAAGAAAAAATTTAAAATATACCTTGTCTTCTTACAACAAAACCATGAAATATTAATACTGATGTATAATCTCAGAGAAAACTTTTCACAGCTTTAAATACATAAATAATTCTCTAAATAAACTAGTTTGGCTAAAATTTCAAAAGGATCAAGATGACTCAGAACTCCACTTTTATTTTTAAAAAGAGACTGCCGCTATAAATATCTCAATTTCGAGAAGACAGTCAGGCACTTTAAAGTGTCCCACCTCTTCCATCACTCTTAATATTACTTTTTCCCATTTCTCTCCATTTTAAACTACTTGAATATTTTCCATCTCATGAAATAATTGCTCTACAAAACATGCACGTTAAACCAAAATCCAAACCAGGAAAGAAAAACAACTTTTAATTACATAAGTTGTGACAGATAGTTGTTCCTTTCTCAGGAAATAACGGAAGTGGAATTTAAAGCAAAATACAACTTTGGATCCATAACATTGTCCTCAATTCCTACTTCTGCTGTTCACATCCTGGAAAATCATATTTTCCATGACGTGACATGGTATTTTACACAAGTACTGATCATGCCATCTGAACTTAAATAATCCTGTACTAAGAATAGAAATTAATGTCATTCCAAAAGGGTTTAGAGCTTAAACAGGGAAACAGAAAGCGATGGATATAATGAAAGGAAAAAGGGGAAGCACTTATAATAAAATAATGAATATTTTAATAAAAAAGCTTAGAAATAGCAACAGATTTATAGATTTGACTAATACGTTATTTGGAAAACATTACTCATGTCCTCGGATGAGAGCAACTTAAACACACAAGATCCACATTATAAGCAAAAAAAGGCACATAAAAGTTACAGTTGAATACAAAACTCAGTCTTTAAAAACAAGACAAAACATCTACTTAACAAAACACAATAAACAAACTATATTTGTGATTTCTGATGTTGAAGCACAGTTTATTAGAGACATTGTATCTTAAAAAAACATTTAACCTGGAACACACAGACTTGCCCACACAGCAACATGCTACTTCTGCAGTACTTTTAACAGCCCTTTACAGTATACAAATCTAGAATGTCTTACCTTCCAAATCTGTCCTTTTTATTGAAGTCTGCACTGGTATTTAGCAGAAGATTTAGGCACTCCAAATTCCTATTAAATTAATGCACTATTACTCATGATTGCAAATTTTACTTCTTAGTATTGGCCTCTATGAATATCAGAACTGCTACACATATACATCTCATATGTTATAATACGAAATTTTTGATAAATACATTTCTGCATGTAAAACAGATTTCATAATTGCTGGACCAAATCAGTAAAGAATATAAATTACTTCAAGACCACATATATAAATTTTATTGATATCAAATAGCATGCATAAAGCACATAAAAATGAATGTAATTTAATAAAAAATTTCAATTCTTGTAAACAAACAAACAATAACACCTGCATGTCACATGCTTTTTGCTACCAGGATTCCAGCAGAGGCAAGTTTTTACTGCATGTTTTTTAAGGCCAAGTACAAGTTACAACATAAATATTTTACTTTTTCGTGTAATCAATTTTCAATAAAATATGACCATCATAATAGATGTACAACACTGTTTATTGTTTAAACACTACCTTGGTAACTTTCCTAAACTGGAGATGAATGAGAGAATGTGTCACAAATTATGTGTTTTCATATGAAAAGACAACATTTTAACCTTAATCACTTGCAACAAGGATGTATCTATCAAGTATCTTTTGACATGGAATGATTACTTAACATTATTACTTAAACAACATTCCAACAGAAAACTGAAAATATCAATATCATGGAGTTCCTGTGTCCCACAGAGTGTGTCAGGAAATTTATTACCCAATTCTTCCAGGCAATTTTGAGTAGGTGCTATAGAAAATCTACAATACAATAACAGTAATCAATATGGATCACAAGTGATGAGCAAGTAGTTCTGACTACTTCATCCACCCAAACTCTGGAATTTAATTATTGCTTTTAATTTAGTTAGATTATCTTTTGTTTATGGATTTGGTAAAAACAAATTTCCCAAAGTTGCTGTTTTCCACCTCATGTTCTACAGTGATTTGAGGTGGGCATGCCATTTTTCAATGTTGTAAATTCTAAAAATGATATAATCATCCATGGAAATTAAAAAAAAAAGTAATTTCATCCCCAAACATAAACCTAAGGTAAGGCTGATGATACCTGGACACTGTATTCCAGCAATTACTTATTGAGCTGAATAGTTAATTTATTTGTATTGATTGCAGATAGAATCCATCTTGAAATTATTTTAATCTTTACATAAATTCCAAGGGGAGCACAGAGAGGAACTACTAAAAAAAGAGCAGGAACGATCAACTGAAAAAATAACAATAAATATGAAAACATGAATGCTTTGTTGCATACCCTCCAGCTGCAGCTGCGTGAAGACAAGTCCTGCCAAAGTCATCTGGTGTGTCAATGTCAAAACCTACAAAACAAATATTTTGTAAAATCATTATGTAACATCACCTTTCACAACACTGCTGTCATCTACTGCTAAGAGAAATGTTTGCTAAGCAAACTTAACACCTATTTGCAAAAAAGCACTCAAGCATTAAAAATTACCTCATTTGAAACATGTCCTTGCTATTTGCAAGGTTTTGAAAAACAGGTATTTAAATAAAACAAAGGGATCAAAAAAATGTAACTGCAATTTCATATCTAACCATATATTTTAACACAAATATTAATATTTAAATCGGGTTTCAAAGCTACATTTTTGGTTTGAAAGAACTGCTATACTCTCCTAAGAGTCTTGCTCTTGTGTAATGTAACTTATTCATTCAATCTCCAGTTTTCGTACCTGGGAATGCTGGCAATTTTTTTAGTTTTTTAAGAACTGTTCAACAACAATAAATAATGAACAACACTCTAGGATATCTTATCCAAGAGTGCTATTATTTCAAGATTGTTTTCCTACTCCATGTCTCATAAAACAGGTTTTGTAGGCACCACTATGTTCTCCTCTCATTTCAATAGGCAATGCTATACGGCAAACAATTTAAAAGTTTACTAATTTGATTTTAAAAGTAGCCTTTGATGTTTTTTCACAGGTTGCTTGTCCACACCACTAACTACTTAAATGTCATTCAGTACTGGAACAAGGAAGAATGGTGTTTTATTAAGCTCTGCACATGAATATTAATTAATTTTAAAATCAGAGATCCTTAATTTACAGAAAGGAGACTTTTCCTCCCAAAACCAAGAGGGGCACATCGTCTGCAGATACCAATCTCCACATCAACAGTACATGCTAACATGCTGTTAGCAGTATCCGGTCTTTCCAGCCTGAAGGCTGAACATATTCATATCTGCTCCAGGCTAGATTTACATCCAAGTTTGCTCAACTCATGTAAAACTCACAGAAATCACTTGCAAGTCTTCTGCAGGGTTTCCTTTGCCATGCTGAATTTCTAGTAAGGGCACAACCAGCACAACATCGTGTTTGAAAGAGCCAGAATATCCCTCATTTTGAACACATCCAATCGAAATATTGTCAAATATTGGACAGTCCTTTCCTGGGGTGAATCCTTGCAAGCTTGCCCAGGACAGGACAGTAAATAAAAAGCCTTACCAGTAGGTAGTTTTAGTTATATTCCTTTAGTTCTTCTCCCAGGCTTCCCTAACAAACAATATAAAGCTGTGGAAGCAACTTGTTACTTTTCCTTTTCCCCAACTCTCTCCTCCCCACTTTTCTTTTTTTCAAAAAACCTTAAGTGTCTTCAGATTAATAAAGAACCATTTAGTTTATTCTTACTTTTCTTTTGTTCCTGAAGTTCCCTTTGGACAAATCTACTTTCTCAGAATTGTAATGGTTCAAAGAGCTTAGAATTCACATCAGACTCTGGCCAACAAGGGAAGTAATGACCTTACAACCTCCACAACTTCAGGGAGGAGTCAAGCAATGAAGGAAAAGAGCAGTTTGCATTGCCTGTGATTAACAACACACCACCAATGCAATAGTTTCTTAATGCAGCAGTCCACAGAGTCTTCAGAGCTATCAGGGGCCCACTTTGGGAACAGGTAGGAATAGACTAATCTGTACAAAGCTAAAAACATCATGGAAGAGAAATAGGAGGATGCTCTATGAAGTCAGAACATCATTCTCCTTGAAGTGTCATTATAGTCTGAGCCAGTCATCCCACCTCTGTAGCCAACTCAAAATGCACAAACACAACATTAGAAAACTTACAAACACATTATTACAATTTGGATGATTTTTTTTTAATTACTTCTGCAAACGTTTGCATTAACTTTAACTCTGGACTGTCCATTAAAAAAAAAGCACCACGTTTCTAGTAAACTATAAAGATTTTTATGTATTACTAAACTAAGATTTATTTAAAAGCTACTCTATGAAATAAAGAACGAAGTGCAAAACACATATAAGAATTTAAAAGAGTGTCTTACCTGATGAGAGGAGCTTTCTGCAGCAGTCTGAAAATCCACTTAATGCTGCCAAATGGAGAGGAAACATCCCATGTATACCCCGCCTAAGATACACCATAATCAGGTATCACAGTTTCATTACAAGTAAAATAAAACAAACATGATTGTGTGCAAAGCGCACATGCACCGTGGATTCAGCAAACCACCTAATTAGAATACTGAGCTAAATTCACACATTAAAGGCTTTCTTACAAGCTATCAGAATGCACTAAATCAGTACAATAGCCTATTAAAACTTTCAAAGCTTTTACTTCAAATACATAAAAGGAAAATCTATTTCTCTTTTTCTTGGTACAAACTGTGATGTACTGAGTAGCTACTTTAAAGTACAGTACAGGATAATCCTATTTCAAGTTGAAGATGATATTAAAAATCATACTAGTCTTGTTACTATAATAAATACATTTCTAAATTCTCAGTTTGCATTCATGTCAGTAAAGTTACCTACTTTGCAGTGTCAGCACCACTCGTAATCAGTGTGTTGATTAATAGCTCGTGGCCATATCTAGCTGCTATGTGCAAAGGGGTATTTCCATTCTTATCTTCACAGTCTATTTCAGCTCCTATAATAAAAAGTAATTACTAAGTAAGAATATATGTAGGCATACAGACACCTTTGTTAGAAAAATAGCACTGATGATAATTTGAGGGACATTAATAATAGTCAATGAATAACTACTTTGGATTTAAACCCTACACAGCTTTCAGCTGTATTAGGTAGTTATAACAAGAAAAATAGAGAAAAGCACTGTATTATGAAACCATATGGGACAAACTTTCTACAACCCAGGAAGAGAAATCTATATATTTTCCTGCATTCTGAAAGAAAAACAGTTCTTCAGTGTAACTTATCAAAATTTATAAGCAGGTATGCCAGACCCATCAGTGTCTGTTACTGGACACTGCATCTGAAAAAAATTTTGTACATTGCTACCCATACAAGAGGACAAAAATATCTGTAATACTGGAAAGCTGATGACAGAACTGCTCCCTCCCCCTTTTTACCATTTTGAATGATGGTTTGGGATCTTGAAAATCTACCATGGATGGCTGTCATGTGCAAAGGTGTTTTCCCATCTTTACTCTGGAAAAGAAAAAAACAACCTCTGTGTTTACTTATGGCCAATAAGAGTAATCCATCAGAACTGACAAAAAAAAAAAAGATGTTGTTTTCATTCTTGTTTCCCCTCTATTCCATCCTTTAAATTTTTCAATTGTTTCTATGCACTTCTGTCAGACAGATGCTGGCAATGACAAGTCAGCATGACAGACATAGCAGGCTTCTCACAAGAGCTGCACTTAGTCACTCTTCCAGCTGTGAGTGACAACTCAGTGATGCCCACTCACTCACACTTATGTCTTTAAGATAACTCTCAAGAGGATGATGACAGCACACAACTTTAGCAAAAAGCCTATGTCCAACTCTTCCCCTGCCCAAGTCTAAAATAAAACAATGCTTTAAGTTTGTTTCGTGAAAGAAAGTAGCTGTATTTCCTACAGAGTGAATTACACAGAGTAAATTACACATTATATTAGAAGATAAAAAGCTCATGTGTTTCTTGGCAATTTCTGTAAAGGGATGTTTGTAAGCAATTTATCATAAACCACAAGTTATCCCAGGGTAAAACTATTCAACCCTAATTGGTACTATACATTTGAAATGCACATCTTAAATGTGCACTTACTCATTCACCCAGTAAAGATGTCCTTTAAGTAGGCCAACAGCAATGCATAAGGAAACTTCAAATTTTAACAGCTCAATCTCAATGCAGTTACAAATCCATTTTTTCTGTTATTATTACTTTAGGATGATTTTCCCCTTGTACTTTTTCACAGGTAATGGGGAAGCTTTACTGCAGAAAAAGGTTCCTACAAATGCACACAAAAAATTGCAAACATGACAAGAAAATAAAAGGACTCTTAAAATGCACATGTGTACCGCATCTTTAAATTTTAAATGTTGGCTTTGAAGAGTGTGAAATGTTCATAAAACACAAAGTTAAAAAGGACAAAGATGGTAGGGGGAAGATAAAATATGAACATATGCATTGAAATATCACAAACTGCTGTCATGTGCAGAAGTGACTTCCCACCTTTACTCTCCTATTGAAATCAAATGACAAAGCTTCTACGGATGTGTTACTGAAAGTCTGCTGGAGACCCTTTTAGGGAAAGATGGACGTGGAATTTTCAGTTTTGTCACTGCACAGAGCAGCATACACCACCTACAACAATGCTATTATGGAAAACATTGTCTTCTCAGACCTAGACTGAAAGAAATAAAACTTGATAATGAAAGTCAAGTTATCTCCACATCTTTCAGCTAGTAGATTTCTTTGACCATAAATAATCCAAAAGACAACATCCACATATCATAGCAGATGCAAATAAACACAGAAAATGGGGTCAATTGTACAATCAATTTTAATTCTGTCATCAGAGGCCTTAAGAAAAGGCCAAATACATCATAAGTGACATCTTCCCCAAGCAATCTCTATGCTCTGATTTTCTTTCATCTTTCTCCCTATGGTTTAGTTCTCCTCTCTTTATCCAACCATTAACATTCTCTGTGTCCACTTACTTTCCTCCTTTAAAACAACTGTTACACATCTGATGTCTCTTTCCCTTACTTTTCTCCTCCTTTAACCTGGAGAATCTATTAATTTAAAGAAAAATTATCACATAAAATAAGCTTAGTGAAGCAACAGACAGAAGAACTTTAGGGCTCAGATAAAGTAGCCTGCAGTCTCACTGGCTCAGATGGAATAAATCTGTATCTCAAAGGAAGGCTAATGAAAAGAAAGAAGATGGAGCTGGAGCTGAAAAAAAAGTAGATTCAAGTCTCAGTGAGTACATTAATAAAGTACCTTACCAGGACATAAGAATGACTTAAGGTGACAGTATCAGAAACTAAAGAGCACGGTTGTCAAGTGAGAACCCTCACAAGACAGCTTCAGGGAGATCTTGCAAAGAACAGCAAAATAAGCTACAAAATCGTTTTCCAGTTGCAAATGAAAAACCACAGTACCATCAATAACAGATTTATAGATTTACTCTGTTCAAATTTACTTAAAAATCCACTTAACATAGATTTCTAAGACAATAGATTTGATTGTCCACAGTGCCTCTCTCATGTATAAGTCTCATATTCCTTTCCAGCCCAGGAATAATATAACACACAATTGTCTATCAACATATAAACACAGAACTGGTATAAAATTAAATGAAGATAATTCCCATGTTGAAGCCAAACTGCTAGGTATAGGACTGCATTCAGAATTCCCCTCTAAGACACTGTCACTAGGGAAGGATATATAGAGTCAGAACCAGTAGCTAACTATTTCTTCAAGCAATGAAACAGGAAAGCACTATTTATTGAGCAAAGCACTATTTCCTGAGATGCCAGGAGGTTGGACTGCATAAGAAGATAGGTATCTTCAGAACTTTTGCTCCAATTTCCCTTTCTTTATGCCTTTAAGGTCTTCTATCTAAATATCAATCTAACTACAGCTGTGTGATTTTATGAGGTCAGCCAGGATCACAGCACAAGAAGAACAGCTATGGGCTAATGCTAACTTTTGTTGTCTTCAGTGAACCTCAATTAAACATGGTAATAGGAAAGATATCACCCAAGTCTCCTCTATCACTACAGAAAACATATACACAAAATACTTTAGATAATTTTTTTTTGCTAAGAACAATTTGCCAAGAACAGTAGTTGTCAGAAATAACACACAGTATAATGTGTCTATTGAGTGATTACTCAGATATTAAATGTACTCAAGACTTCTGAGCTCTGCTGAGGGTCAGGGGAAATGTGGATCTATCATGTCGCAGCATTCTTCCAAGTGAAATCTCATCCTAGCAACAGTTCTGTTCTGGTACCACCAATACAAGTAAAAAACTTTTTCTATTTACGTCACCAAACTTTCAAGCAGCAAAGGGGCCCATAAAACAATTAATACTGTCCCATTACATACTCATTTCAATGTGTTCTTCCATGCATGGAAATCCTGAATAGTGAGGAGAGAGGGTTGCAGTAATGAGCAATACTTAACAACATTCACTGTTCCACAGTGGACACTGCCAAGGCTACGAAAACAAGCAGGAAATTATGTCCTCTGCCAACAGAGGTGATAAAAAGCATATAACATATTTCTACTGTTCTATTATCTTCTGCCACATAATCTGTTCTCCATATGAGGTCAGCACTCACAGACACGCACAAGAACTTACCCTCCATCTGCCATCAGGAATAAGAGTGTTTCCCTTTTGCTCTCCCCCCTGCCACTCACAGCAGAAAGTGCTCTAATAGTACTGTCTAGTCTGCACCTAGATTGCCACCCATATCCCCTGTTACCTCTAACAACACAGAAACAGTTGCACATGAGACGAAATTATTGAACCAGCTTACACAAGCAATATAATTATGATGAAAAATAGATCTTATAACCATTTTAAGAACTACTTTGAACTTAAACCTCAGTATTTGGAAACAGAACAGAACACTGGCAAGAAGGCCCTAATTCCATCTCATTTTAATTCCACAACTTATTCTTATCTACACAACATACTAGTTTTTTTTTAAGGACTGGTTAATCCAACATTTATCTTTATAGGCCTTTCCAGGGAAGTAGAAGTTGATTTAGAAATTATTTCCTTTTGCCTCAGTTCTTGCACTTTTCAACAGTGCAAGCGATAAATTTTCATATACCAAGTAAGGTTGTTCACACCTTCAGGTGCAAATTTACAGGCCAAATTCTGTCATACTGGTATAAATAAACAGAAATGCTATTAAAAGAATTACAATGGAAACATCTTGATTGGGAAACAGGATAAATGCTATTTTCAAGCTTAAAATCCTTACACAGTCCTACTTGCTTAATTATGCACTTAACTGTTTTGATATGTACTAAACCAACACATTTTAATTACAACAACCGACAGCTAAAGCTACTAACGCTCTTTCTGAAATGGAGCCCTCCTTACTTCTTTCTTTTAAGTCAGAAATATACACAAAGTTATGAACCCTTGCAACCCTGTATACAGAAAGACAGTAGTTCTTGGCTTGGTAATATTTGTTATAGGATGGTTTGGGTTGGAAAAGACCTTAAATATCATCTAGTTACAACTACCCCGCCATGGGCAGGGACACCTTCCATTAGACTAAGTACCTCAACTCCCCATCCAACCTGACACTGAACACTTCCAGGAATGGGGCATTCACACCTTCCCTGGGCAACCTGTTCCAGTGACTCACCACCCTTGCAGTAAACGATTTCTTCCTAATATCTAATCTAACCCTACTCTCTTTAAGTTTGAAGATATTCCCCCTTGTCCTGTCATGAAATGCCCTTGTACAAAGTCCATCTCCAGTTTTCTTGTAGGCCCTAGAAGGTGCTGTAAGGTCTCCTTTGTTCTTATTTGTCTAAGTAACATACATATATAATCACTAGTATATTCAACATTGTGGGATTATTTTCATGGCAGACCACATGTTTCTGAGAAATGATGTTTCAAGAATGTAGGACAGAAGTCAGCCAATGCTGCAACACCGAACACTCAGTCTTATCCAGTCTGGGACATTATGCAGAGCAGAAAGCTGGCAGCAAAAATAAACAGACTGTGACCTGGATATTTTAGGGCAAGTGAGAAATAAACCCTGTGACACAGCTCCTTACTTCTGTGGGGCACTTTGGTGATTAATTCTTCCACAACTGTATTATATGCATTCACATTAAATGAGCCACACATCTAAATATATGTAACAGTGAGCAGGAACATACATCTAAGATTTTTCCACATCAAAGAGCTTATTTTCCAACTCCTCCCAAATTTTCAGTTGACTATGGGTTTTGTGCTAACAATAGATATAAAAATAAATTTTAGCAATAGTTAGTTGAAAATCAGGGCGAATCACTGTGAAAATCACTGCTTCCATGAAGTGAACAACAAAACATCAAGATTTTTAACAGAAATGTCAGCTATTCTAACATTCACCTCCTGACCAGATTGTGTTGGAATTCAAGTATAAATCTATTAAACTTTTAAGAAACAAGAGGACAGATAATTCTCTTCCTACCACATGTGGGTGATAGTTCAGGCAATTAGACATTCTGCATAAGGAACACTTGGACTCTTCATTCCATCACCCTAGCCCAAAACCTGTCAAGACATCAGATACTGCCACTAAATATTTCTGAATGGAGTTTAAATTTTCTTTACCAGAATAAAAATCAATGTAATACAAAATAGGAGGTCTCACATCTCTCTCCCACATCTCAAGACTTCACACTACACACTAGAGAAGACAATAAAAGATATAGGTTATAGCTTGTTTTTTATGCTTGTGTGTATTAGCAATTCTGTCTACAATAGTAGATCATAAGGAATATTCTGCAACCAAGTACAGATGTAAAAGGTATACCGATTCTGCTTACCAAGTTTTTGCTGGAGTAATTAAAGCACCAGCTGTTAAACCTTTCCATTGGCCTGATCTACTTATATTTGTATTTTTATACACCCTTCCCAAATCTGCCTGACTAATTATTCTAGGATCTTACATTATCGGCCCTTCAACTGCTCCAGTAATTAGCCTGTTCATACACATTTCTCTGAAATACCCTTGGTTTCGTTCATGTTACTTATTTATAAGGAAAACATATTCTTTTGCATTTTTTCAAATTATTTGCTTTTACTTACATGGCTAGACTAGGGAAAACAAATTATACAGAATTCTGACATTTAAATGCAATCAAGATTGAGCAAACAGTATCGTCATCCTTCTTCTTTATCCTTTTGGGCCATTTAATACATCCCATTGAGGTTTTGAGATTCTGATCAAGTTCCTTGAAGCAACATACCGGCTCATTTTCACAACAGTACTTTTCATACAAGTACTCCATCTATCAGTGGGAACCTTTAAAATACTACCATAACAAATATTTTTGAAAAAAACTATCTCTGATAATGATGTACTGCATCTTTAGGTGTGAATGGGTGGCTTTGGATATACCTACCTTTATATTTACATCTGCACCGTTGCAGACCAAAAGCTCTAAACACAATGCTCCATGTGTTGATGCAGCGGCAAAGTGCAAAGGTGTAAACCCCTTCTCGTTTACTTGATTTACATTAGCACCACAGTCTATGAGTTCATTCACTACAACATCTTGCCCATTGTAACAAGCTACATGGAGAGGAGTATTTCCATAGGCATTTGGTTCATTCATCTATGAGAGAAAAAAAAAAAACCAACATTAGTTAGTAGGCAGAAAACTGTATTTAATGCAGCATTTAATTCTAACAAAGAAAGATCTCATGTCGTGAGATTATGTTTTGAAACTCTTAAAACCAGAAATTAAAAGCAAGTTCTGGGTGTAGCACTTTGATCAAGATGTGTGTCCTGGGGAAGAGCATGATTGCCTTACAAGTGAGCCAACCTCCTGCAATTGTCTCCACACCAGTTTCCTGTGTGCAATTTAAGAGAAGACGCACATGCCAAAAATGTCAACAGTGGCATACTATAAAGCATAGCACAGACCTCTATAAAACAGCATTTGCAAGTTTTCATGAAAAACATAGGTCATAGAGACTTTTCCCGAGGGGGCGTGTATGGGTGTGTACAGAAATTGAATTTGTTGTTGTACACAACATGATACTGAATTCTGATTTACTTCTCAATAAAGAACTTGAGCTGCAATCTCCAGCCTTGCAAGACTAAAATGTGATTCACAATGCAGATTTCTTACACAGTTTCAGAGTTTATTGTTAAGATGCTTTCTTTGCGCAGGTACTGTAGAGCCTTTTAATTTATTTTGCATTTGAATATTAATATGGCCTTACTCTGGTTTTGGAAGTTTCTCACCATTTTTAATATTTTCCAAAACTTAAGTGACGTAAGAAAGTCAGTAACATCTATATTTTACAAACTGAAGCAAAAACATTTAATTTCCTGCACTTCAAAAAGGATTGTGTGGCAGAGCTAGGATCGGAATTCCTATTTCCTGACTTCAAGTCCAACGAATTAAGACCAAGAAATATCAAACAAAAAAACTCTACTAAATACACATTTATTTTCACATTATTGTGCAAAATCTACAAGGCTCTTAAGTTACCTGGAAGAATGTGGTTTTATAACAGAAAAAGTATTTCCAGAGATCTTCATTCACATGCTTTCACTACACCATAACCTGTCCCTAAATAAACAGTGTCCTATAGTACTAACAAAAGCATTTCAAACAATAAAAAAATGTGTCAGTTTTATTTTTCCTTACATCAACTCCAAGATCCAGAAGATATTTGACTACACTGATCATCCCACTAGATGCTGCAGCATGTAAAGGTGTATATGATTTCTTGTCTTTGCATGTCACTTCAGCTGTATGAGTCACGAGTAATTTCACAACTTCAATATGACCTAAAATAACAAAGACAAATAAAATAAAGCATCATTTTTTATTAACCAGTAGAGGGTTGCAAACTTAATAATTCTACGATTGTTATAACATGATCAAGACATTATTCATTTTGACCTAATGTGGAAAACAAAGAATTGTTCTTGTTTTCTAATTCTATCATGACCTATAAAAGCAATATTAATCACCTCCACATACCACATCCAACAATCATAGCATTTATACTGCAAAAATAAATTTGCATATTCAAAACACAATCTTGTCTTCTGCTTACACAGCAGGATTTTTCTGAAGACTTGAGAACTAGAGAGGCAAAGTCACTTTGCAATTAATAAACATTTACTGCAAATTTATGTTACCAACTTGAGAGACAGTGTGACTGTCAGATTTCCACTCTCACCTCAATTGCAAACATGCCCGTCAAGGTTTCTAAATCTTAAGCAGAAACTTTGAAAAAATTATGCAAACACGAGAAGAAAAAAATATTCTACTTTGACATAAAAACATATCCCCCCCAATCCAACTTCCTTTACTTGCAAAGCATTTAAAATCTTGAACCAAATTATACAGGACTTAGCAAAGCCCTGTTTTCAAGACTGACTCAGACAATCCAAGAAGGAACCGTAGCCTTTTGAAAGCATTAACTGCTCTCCTAAGACAATGAGAGGAGGGTAAGAGTCAAGTTTGGATCATGAGGAAAGGATGACCGGGGGAAGTTCCAGCTGGAAAAGGGGAGGGAAGGCAGGGAGCCCACCCTGAAGTGGTGGGCAGCAGCTCTCACTGCCAGCTTTGGGCCAGGGGCCCCAACACCACACCACTGCTGCAAAGGGCAGTGAGCTTTCCACTGGCTTGTAGGCAGTTGTGACACTGCCTGCTAAGAAGCCATGAAAATGGGGTAACCAAAAAAATCTGTCATTCTTGCTCCGTTGTTAATTTAACTGCCAAAAAAGTCATCACTGAAAACACATGGATAATCATGACAAAGTCTGCTGAATAAAGTAGTACATGACTTTAACAGACCACGATACACTTAGTGCTTTGCCTTTGTAACTGACCCATACAGACAGATGTGGGATTCTTTGTTTTGCCTTTTAAGTTACACCCTTACCTTAGTTAAAGAAGTGAGGGGGGGCATACTGAATTCTTATACTTATTCAGTAGACATCTAAGTAGAAAGTATCAAGTCCAGCTTTCAGCTTAAGCACTTCATAAAAAGTGAGGGTCTTCACTTTTTAAGAGAATTTGCAAAAGTCTGAATAGGAAGTATCTACCCAACAGAATACAGACAAAGCTATTTTTATAAACATTCAGTCACCGTGATACTTATTTTATGCTGCATGTCCGACAGCACACAAAACACCATTTTACCCAGTTATACCGATCACAACCATAAGAGTTTACCAGTGCAATGTGAAGTGATGCAATAGTTCACTTAACTACTTCAGTATTGTAGGAAAGAAGGGAAAGAGAAATGCAAACATGATACTCATCTTCTGACCCAAATAAAATGGGGACAGGAATGAAAACAAGCCCTATATGAGAGACAGAAATACAGAAGATACTGAAAGGAGTGAAAGGAATAGAGAGACTGAGTGGAACAGTGGTAGAAAGAACTTTAAAGAGAAGATAAAAACAAAAAAAAACCCCTGACCTGCATTGAAAACACAAGCAGCAATCAGTGGAAGACTCTCAAACAGAAGAGCAACGTACTTGAGGTGAGAAGTGCTGCAGAGACATCCCAATTTGTTAATGAGGGCAACAAGAATGTTAGTTCATTTCAGTCACAGCATTGCAGCTGGACAGCAACGGAGCCGGGTGAAAAGCAGGAAGGAAGGGAAACAATGGATATAACCCTAGGAAGTTATTTATAGTAGAATGACGAAAAGCATAACTTTTTTATTCTGTGGTCAGTTTTACACGGTTGAAAAGCTTTAAAGGTTTTCTCCAAACAACTGGAGCAAGGCACAATGGCTCTAAATTGTAAAAGAGAATGTCACAGTTCTTTTTTTCTTTTATTGAAGACTTTTAAAGTTTTTTCTACTCTGTTGTCTACAAGGATATTTAGGTTGATCAACATCAGTTAAATTACATTTTTCCTGCCCAAGCACTCCTGTTGGTAGCCTATGAAATAGCACTGACTAAAACTGGCATAAATGTAGTTTATCTGAAAAACAGAAGACTTTTCCCTCATCTAGGCAAGCACAAAAAAGAAAATGTCTCTGTCCTCTCACTGACACTTGTCAGATTTCTGCCATTTCATGCACAGATTTCATTCAACAAAATTCTGCAAATAACAACCTTGAGTAAGGTGGTTGGACAGCCTGTCACAGATGTTGCTTTGCAGATATAAGTACATGAAAAATACTAATGCAAAATATTGCAAAGTATGTTGGATCAATAACGAAAAATGCTCTTTAACTTCTGGGGTTTCAAGAACTGGTATCTGAAGTGCAATACCATCCAGCTTCAAATTATAAGTTAGGAGCATTAATATTGTGATGATCACTTCATAATTCACTGGCACATTCAAGTCTTTTCAAGTCTGATAAAAGACAATGAAGTACATTACCTTGACAGTACTGCTAGTGCATTGATCAAGGCCATGAGAATAACAATTATCCATTCCTGGAATAAGAATGGCAAGGCAAGAATTTGCAGTTTCAGGGATGAAATATTCTTTTGAAATCCAACCCCCAGGGCTGGATTCAGGTGCCCCTTGTATTAACTGTTTACTTTTTGTTTAGTATTACTGCAAAATTTTTCACCTGTGATTAGACTCTGATTGAAGAACACAGTTCCTCCTTTTTAAAGAACAAAATTACCTACCTCACTTTTCTTACTCGAACAAATTGATTTTTCTCAGCACAAAAAACACATTTACAAGGTAATTTGATCTATACTGTTAATGGTTTTCTGGCAGACACACAATAACCTCAATGCTTACAATGCAAATTTTTCCTAGAAATACATAAAACCACTAAACATAAGGTGACTTTTTTTTTACTACCAAAAGAGTAATCAACTGAAATATGTACATACCCATATATGCTGCCCAATGTATAGCTCGTCTGTCTTTCTTGTCAAATGCATTAATATTGGCCCCTCTAGACAACAGTAAGCTGACCATCTAAAATAAAGAAATCTTTTATTCATAATGGGAAACTCTGCTTAGAAAAAGAAAATCATAGAAGAAATGAGTTTCTAAATACATGTGTTTCTAAAGGATTTAAATATGCTGGGTTTTGAATATTCCATAAGCTTGAAAAAACTGGCTGCCACACCCTGGCAGCAATAATGAAGCGACTGTAAGGAACACAAAACTTCATGTCAACAAAAACATTTCTCAGTTTAATATAGCAAAGCTGTGAAATCTTTCAAATCTTCAGGTTATTACTAAGGGATTCACTACAGCTAATCCCCAAAAGCAAGCCAATTTCCAATGTGTCTCCAATTACCTACATGCAATTAATGGGAATTTCTCAGCAGTCATTTTTCAAAGCTTCAATATTAGGCGAGTTAGAGCTTATTACATGTATTTTCTCCACATTTCAGTGACATCACTTTCCATATGTTCACTATTTACTGAATACAAAAATATCCTGGTTTTTCCATTTTTAATTTACCCATTACTAGTTTAACTCTACTTATCTCAGTAAATTTGCTTCTGTCGTAAGAAAAGTGAAATATGTAACAACCTTCCAACTTGATGATGTAACATTTATTTCCCACAACTGTTCTGTACAGAGATGCAAACAAAAGACAAATTCAAATACAAAATAGGACTTGGGTTTTTTTGAGGGCATGAGGGAGACATGATTTTAAACTGAGAAACTAAACATCAGAAATGTGAGGGACAGAATGATGAATGGAAAACAAATTAAGAAAATCAACTTTTACCTCAACGTGTCCACTGAAGGCTGCATGATGCAATGCAGTTCTGCCTGCTCGATCAGACACATTTACATTGCTTAGGAGAGGCACCAAAGCCTCAGCACACTTCACAGCTTTGTTTGCAGCTGCTATGTGTAGCGGTGTCTGCCAGTTTTTATCACGAGCATTGACATCTGCTGAATGCTTTAACAACACCTGAACAGCATCCTGAAAGCATTTACAAAAAAAAAAAAATAAGCCCCTTAGTAAAGATCTGAAATGCCAGCCTTAGATTTAAGGACAGTATAGAAATAACTCTTTACAATTTGTTCATTTCTAAACATAAACGTACGCTTTGAGATTTGTACTTTATTATAAATCCAAATTTTGGGATGTTCTCATGAACATGAGTAATATACCCCCTACAGGATTCAACCAAATCAACCATTTCCAGGTCTTTTATCCAATTCCTTACACCACCCGGCAAATTGTTTTGTCATCACAACTGATTTCCAAAGCTCAATTAACCAATTTAGGACTTCTTCCATTGCCAAAGTTAAATGAAGTACTATGAACTTATAATGAATTTTCATCAATCTGCCAAGCAAAAGTTTTGAACTGTCAAAGTCTAGAAATGGCAAAAAGAACAGATTATTAAACGTACATTTAGAAACCGCAGATAAAACAGAGCACGGCCACGAAAAGTTTCATCATACATTGTTGCAAAACTCCTGAAAAACGTTTTAAAATATTGCACTGAATTCCATCTCTCAAAAAGATTATTCATTTCCTTTTGTTAAAATTACAAGCTGTGAAAAACTGACAAATTACACTGTAATTCTTACAGGAAGATAATAAAAACCTATTAAAATATGTGCACCCAATTGCAATGCATAAAAAATTAAATCTGTTGGCAATATCAACATGATGATGAGTATTGCATTTTACACCAACTGTGTGACCTTCCCACAATTCACTAATTGTTTCTGGTGACTGCCAACTTAGCCACTGAGCACACAAATAATTGATTACCACTTTGAACTTAAAACATGTTACCACAAGTTATCACTAGAAATTTTGAATTACAGAGTGGTACAACAGCTAGGTGTTATTCTCAGCTATGAGCAGAATGCTAAGTAACTCTTGATTCTATTTATATTATAATAAATTATATTTAAAGTGTTAAAATTTCTTGTACTGTCAATAAAAAAAGAAAATAGGAACAAACATAAAAGTGTACATACTGCATCACAGGTTTATAATTTAAGTGAGAAATGGAATAACTCTTCTGTGAGAAACTGAAGCAGATTTAATACTTTAAAAAACAAATTATATTTTAAGTCTTGTCTTTTTAAAACCAAATATTAAGAAATACCATAATCAGAACAAGGAAATTTTAGAACAGCTATTACCCCTTTTGCAGAAGAAAGCACAATAATATTAGTATAAAAATAATGTATCTCATTTTTAAGCACATATGCAATTAATGAATTTAATAGAATTAGTGAATCTACTTAGGGTTTCTTTTTTTTTTTAATTTGCTATGTACACCAGGTGCACAAAAATATAAAGGCCTAGAATGTGACTGTCTTGACATGAAGTTGCCTTAACTTGCACAGTTGACAGCCAAGTCCATAATTCCAGCAATTTTGTGTGTTTCAATGTCCTTATTTAATTGCAGCTGTCCTTACTTAACAAGTAAATCCATATGTTTTACGGAAATCATTATCAAGCTTTTTCATTACAGCTTTTCATCTAAAGCCCCAAACCTATCTATGGCTGTCAGCTGGAAAAGGGTGCCTATATGTATCAACCACGTATATGGGCCCCTATGACTCACTGTGTTTAGAAATAGAGAATTCTGACAAGTGCCTGTCATTGGCTTTTGGGTAAATAGTCTGATTGGTTTATGTGTGTTGGTTGCCTTTGGTTAACATTTTGTTCAAAATCTTCCACATTTAAAAAAATATGACCACTGCTGCATTTCTTGAAGTTATCATTTAGACCCAGTTTGCCTGCAGTACTCCTCTCTGCAAGCATTACTGTTGTAAAGAGATTTTATTGTTCCTCAGCTCTGAAGAATGCAGCATTTAGTGCTTGGGTCAGCTCCCAAAGGAGCAGCCTAAAAATATCTCAAGAACAAACAGCATTTGGGAATAAGGCACCCTTGAAGACTCATTTTCAAACACTGTTTTTAATATCATGATCTCCATATAACTTAGCTATTAATGCTAGTGACAAAATACTGCCATTTATCCAGGGAATTCAAAAGCAAAAACTAAAACAAGGCTTGTTTAGATAGTTTGTTGGATCAAATACAAGTTCAATGCTTGTCAAAACCAAAATATTCAATTCTATTTTCTCAAACAAAAATTTACTAATAAAAAAATCTTTACTTGAGACATACTGAAATGAACATCATTTTGACTCAGGATCTCAAAGGAGAGAGTTTTGCATAAACTCTTCCACATAACAAGCTCAGCATTTCTCTGTTTGTTTTGATCTTCTTCAACCACAATAGAGAAACAATAACAAAGTAATTTCTTACATTATTATATTCTCACAACTATGTAACTGGTAGACTTCAAGAAACATGCTACATTTCACTTATAATTTTTAAAGTGATGTTCAATACTATTATTATTAATTAATCACTTTAAAAAAAAAAAACAACAGAGATTTGCAGGCCTTTATACAATCATTTATTTCTTCAATGCCTGAACAGCCAAGTACGTAAAAAAACCAAAGAAATGCAAAGACAATGTTGTAAAAACTATTAAATCTTAATTTATCTCTAATTCCCTCATGCCAAACAATTCTGGTTACCTTAGAAGTTAAGTGAACTTGAGAACACTGTGTGCAGAACCCTCTGCTAAGGAAATTGCAGAGAGTAAAGCTCAGAACTGTAAGTTTATAGTTTTTCCTCTTTCTTCCTGCTCAGGTAAGTGCTATACATATATACATACCCTCAATACGTTAAATAAACTTACCAAAACCTTCTGCAATTCCAAACATTTGGAGTAGTTTCACTTTTTAAAAAACGAACATCAGACAGAAGGTAATTTGAGATGCCTTATTTTAAAACAAAGCAGTCACAAAAAGCAACATACCTCACTACAAGATGCTACAGCTCTGTGTAAAGGAGTCAACCATTTGCTGTCTTTGGCATTAACTCTAGCTCCTGTAACAAAAAATAAAGTAATAGAAATTTAAAATGTATTTATAGGATGACTGAAACATTTTCAAAAACAGAGATAGACTTATTGGAAGTTATTTATTCTAGGCTCACTAATACAGTACAACGCAAAAAATGGAAAGGGATCTTTTCCCCAGCTGACGTCCAACACTTTGAGGAAAGTTCTTTTAACACTGTAACCATAATAGTCTTCCACATCAAAGGATACTCATATTTTTACATTTGGTCATCCTCTATATTCTTTTGCACTTCCAAAGCCACATAAAAGGCTGTTGATCAAGAAAAATTAACTCCTTGCCTTCATTCAGCAACAAAAACGTCATACTTTCACAGTTGAAACTCTCCACTAAAACAGAGAAAGAAGCTGTATTTACACCCCATGCCTCCAGTTTCCCTGTGGTTGGCGTGTCTGATGCAAAGGTATAAAGAATGAGGATGATTCTTCTACTGGGAATTTGGGAACAAGGCTTCACCACTTCACCATGTCACCTAGCCCACCCCAGGATGTCCTGGTCCTCCCTTCATGAGAGAGATATGGCCACACCTCTCTACTTCTAAAAGCATTCTAGAGAAAGAGCCATTCTTGTCCCCAGGAAACAAGGCTGCACAAACGTCTGTAAGGGACACAAACCTTGGATTGGATTTTAATTTTTTTCTTAATAATAAAAGGAAAGAAGAGCTTGGGAACATTTTTCCCTGAAGGAAAGCAGCTGAATTACATTTTAACTTCCAGTGAGCTCCACCAAACAAGAAAACTTAATGATTAAAGTTAATAATTTGATTTCTTACTGATACACACACACACACATATAAATAACCTTGTAGGTTTTTTATACCTTGAGTGGAAATTTATCCATCCTTATTTCAAAACTTCTGAGATTTTACATGGATAGCTTAGACACAATGTTACATTTTTGAAAAAACAGTTTGGAAATACTGTTGGAAAGAATCACCCAGTAACATTAACGCTACATGATCAGAGCTGATTGACTTGTCAGGCTAAATATATCACTGTTATGTCAGAACCAACTGTAGTATTTCCTATGCAGGAACAGAAGAGGATGGAAGGCCAGTCAGACACCAAATGCCAAACAAGCTGCTGGTCAAGACACTCAGCTGAGAGACAGGGTATTTTGTTCCAAGACCTGCACCAGCAAAGAAGCTGAACGACCTGACCAACAACCCCAGCAGTCTGTACAGTATCATGGTTGCATATAATAACCAAACCAAATACCTGAAGTCAATTCTCTTGAGTTTCTAGTCAATCCATCCCTTTTGGTCTTAAGAACAGAACACAGAAGCTGATGTAGGATCCAAACTCCCAGTTAGGTCTTCCAAACACTAGACAAAGCCTGAGGTTCTAACTGCTGGCTACAATTTCAGGGATTTCCATCTTTCCGTATCTAAATTTCAGAAGCTTTGGATGTCATTCTATTTTTCCAAGTGCAAAAGTTTTTGAAAAATAAGATTGATGAACAGGGAAGAAAGTCCAAGTCCATTTGAAGAAAACTCCCACAAATCTAACAAAAGTTTAAGAGACTTCATCATACCATAAATATCTGCTTTTATCAAACGTCCTAAGGATCTAGTGGTGTACTTCATCACATCATGTGCCATAACAATGTACTGCATCAAGTTCTGCACGGAACTCAAGCAAAAAAAGAATTCAAGGACTCTAAAAGTCACCAGGAATGTCTTACGATTTTTGGCAGTAAGCGATAAATGAAATCACAAATACAAAGAAGTAATGATCAGTGAGAATGTAATTAATATATCTTGAAAGTATCTGTAATTCTTGATTGTCTTCCAGGTAATTGTTGGCCTCACCTTGTTTTTAGCAGAAGAGACAAAAATAAGAGCTACCTGACTTTACATCTAGCCAACAACCAAGGAATGAAGCCTTTCAGTCTGATTTCTATCTCTAATTTTAGGATACAAATGTCTTTAAAGCATTTTAAAGAACTTAAAGGAGTTACTAAGCCATTAGTTACCATCCTGAATTTCCTCAGGAAAATGAATTTGCAAGACTTGAGGTCAGGCCAGATGCATCCAGGTGATGAAGCCCAAGACAGGAGAAGCACCGTGCCCATCAGAAGGGAGAAATGCACGTTTCCACTCCAAAGTGACAGTTACCTAAGCTCCAGCTCTGAGTGAAATGTGCTTAGAGTCCAGGCAGCATTTATGTGTTCAGATAAGGTGTTTATTGACATTTCTGCTACTTTTAACACACAGCTTAAAAATTGCACCAGAAGAGAGAAGGAATAAATGCAAAAAGATACTGTACAAAAGGTTTTCCCAGTGGTTAAGTTAATCACACTTGCTAAGACGAAAAGAAATTAATATATGAAAGGAAATCAGCATTACGTAAAGAAACGTCTAGGTAAATTTTAAGTGAGATATCTAAAAGTAACACAGTCCTCTCAAAAGAACAAAACACAGCAGTATCTGCTTCCCATCCCATACATGGTCCTTCACTCAAAGAAACAAGAAAGCCTAGGTCTACCACATCCCATAATTAAAATAGTGTAATATGTTATAAACATTAAAATAAGTTAACTTTTCAAATAAAAAAAAATTTGTAGATTCTCTGACAAACGAAAAAAACAAAGTTGATTTTTGACAACAAATCTAAATCTCTGATGGACTTAAGAAAGACCACCAAGCTTGTTTTTTCCTCCACAAGAAAGCCTCTTAAAGAAGTTGCAAAATTGTTACATTGAAAGACAAAACTTTTAAGCAATAATCAGGACAAATGTACTAGGAAAAAACACATGTGCACTATTAATGTGGGAATTGGGAGATTACATCTCTAGATACATTAAATAAAATATTTTTCAATTAACATCAAGATTTCTTTGCCCTCAAATTTCTCTAAGAAGCCAAAAATAATTTGAATTTCATAAAAGAGCTTCTCCAAACAGCCTTGCATCTGAGGACATAGTCCCCCTCTAGGCTGTTCTTTACTCCCTAGCACATGATTTAGGGAAAATGTTACCGTTCCTCCCTCCCCCTTCAGACGCTCTTGAAGGGTCATAAAGCTCCCTCAAACCTCTCAGCTCCCTCCTACCACACAACAGTGAGAGAGTTTACAGCCTTGATTATCTGGCGTAATGCTCTAATCCAGACCATTGCAAACAAATGTTAGAAAAATATATTACACCTCTACCAAATAACTTTTGCTTTAAGGTGATTTGTTTCATGGTTTGCTTAAAGACAGTTCGAACACATGTATGTGTATAACTCACTGCACAACACTGCCGATGCAATATTATCTCCATGAAGCCCAACCCGCTGACGTGTTAACCAGGGCATTTCTCACATTTCAAATGCCAGTTATGCAGCAGTTTGCTCTTTCAAAGCACAGTACAGCGTATCTCGATCCCTAGTGTGCAAAACAGAAAAAAAAACCAACCCCAAACAACCCCCCCACTTACCACACTTCCAGACTGCAGGAGCCTGTCTTAAAAAGTTTATTAAAATTTCTCAAATATTTATTTGTTCACTGTAAATTTTTTTTTATATTTCACTTACTTTTAATGCCATAGAGTTTGCAGGAAAAGGATTAGGGGGCCTGCCAGTGAGATCAAGCACAATACTGCAACACAGATACTCAACTTGAACTTAAGAGCCAATCATGTAAATGACCCTCACCTAAAACTGAACCCTCCAAACAAACCAAATTATTCTTCCACATTGGAGCACTAAACCAAAACATTCAAGATCACTCCTTTCACCACCAACTTGGCTTGTACAGCCTAGTAAGTTTACACATCTAGGCAAATATAAAAGCAGGACTTTTGCTCTGTAAAAGGTGGGGGTAGGAGGAATTAGAGAGAGAGAAGTAAAATTCAGGGATGAGGGAAGAAAATTATGTAATACATTTCATCTTGCCAAGTTGCATTCACAAGACTGACAATTAGAAAGACATGTTTATTTAATAAATATAGCACAGAAGCTATTGAAAACCTCAGTGATGCTTACTTTTAGCAAGTTTATGTTTCAAGAGGCCCATTTTCCAACTGAATACATACGCTGATTTACAGACTGATCATAGAGGTTTTAATTCTATCAATCTGTATCTGAGAGTTGCATATTTAAATGTGCTATTAGCCACCAATTCCTGGACATATGTTTCTGCACTCTGATTGCTACTCCTTGGTGTCCATGTCCTTACGTTCAAGTAAGAGCTAGCACCGCAACCACCCCCTGGAGAGACAGGCAAGGAATGACTGGGCAGAAAATGCTGCAAGGAGCAACTACACACCTCCTCCTTCACTCATCAAGTGCCATACAACTACACAGCCATGTCTCTCACTTCACCTCTGTGTTTCTCTCCTAAGAACTTTTTCTGTGACTCTCCTCCCGAGCTCCTCCGCACCAGAACTCTTCCTATTTGTAAATGTCCTCAGAAGAGTAATGAATGCAGTGGCTGCATTATCTGCATGCCACTAGTTGGAAATAGATCCAGAAAAGAAATACAACAGAACTGACGTGACATTTTCATCTTTGCTCACAGTACTGACTTAAGTACTGAATTGCCTTCCACTGTTCTGTTTGCAGTCTGTATTTTTAGACTTCCAAGGATGGTATTTTCCTTTGTTATTGTACAAGATGTGCTAGGACTGAACAATATCATAATATAAGCAAAGAAAGCAAAAGTGCTTTCATTCAATTATGCAATACAGACACCCAGTATTTGAAGCTCTGAAATGTTTATTTAGGAGTAAAACATGTAAATAAGATTTTCAGAGTGCATTTAAGGAAGTAACAAGCTTTGTCTTAACAACTAGTATACTGAAATAACCCTAGGAATTATCTTGGCAGAAATTAGGAAAATTTCAGGTATAAATCACTGAGAGTAACTAGCAGTCCTGTAATCAGATGCTATTTAATTATTTTTCCTGACAGCCAGTAATAGCTTCAAAAGTTTTTCCTTTTAACTGATCCACTACTTTATCTAGAGACAATGACCTTGGAAGCACTTA